CCGGTATGGAATGTGTCATATGCATCATGCTGGGAATAATACGAGTCCTGTGTAAATCCTGCGGCAGCCATACTTGCAGGCATGGTAGGTGTGTCTCTCCAACTAGGAGATTCTACTGGGGATGGCTCCATAGACCATCTTCGATAGTGGGGGTATTCAAGGTCAACAGCATTACGAGACTCATAGCTCATAGGCTGGGGCTCAGTTACCGGAAAACTCGCTCTTTGGGGAGACACAATAGTGAATCTGTTTTCCCCGGAGTGTTGCATTTCGCCCTCATATAAGTTATTTATGTATCCATCCTGCATAATTCCAATCATATCTGGCCTTATCCCAGGAGTCATATGTATACCAAGCCTTGGATCTGAAGATCGTATGTTAAGTACACGTGGATCATGAATCACGTTATTGATCGACCGTGTACCAAACATTCTATTAGCATGCATAGTATGTCTTGGGTCATCTTCAATATGATCAAAGGGAATATTTCTCAAGTCGGAAGCTATTGGCTGAAAGGAGCCATCTATATTCTGAGGATAACCACACCAGTCATTTTGAATTTCTTGTCGGGAGATTGGTCGCACGCCACTATAATGCACGTGTCTGATATCGGACACACTGTGCCTATTATCGACTCGTGGGTACTCGGTTCGAACGATTGGTACCGGCTGTTGTAATAATTGTTCGCGCGGAGAAAATCTTGGAGAGTAGGCACTGTCTTCAGATGGCGGAGAAACATACACACGGTTTCTTGGAGGAGATGTACTTTGAAGGTGTTGCTGATGTATTTCATTTTCTACTAATGCTCTTCCGTGTTTATCTGGACCTTGCCAAGAGACTTTAGGTAATTGCTGTCGATGAGTCTCAAAAAATTCTGATTGGGAAGAAGTAGAAGGAGTATTGTAATATCCTTCTGCGCTGCGAGAATGGTTCCATTGAGGGTGCCCTTGCAATGATGACATTTTTTCAATTTCAATGGTATCAAGATCTTCAGCAATAACTTCATTGTTTGTAGGTTTTGATTGCTTAAGTGGCTGCTGAAGTTCGGTTGTTATCGCGATAGACTCTGGTTCTGCGGTTTCATTTTTCTGTACTGGAACTACCGGCCCTAATGATTGTCTAGGAGTGCTTTGAGCTGATTGGCTAAGATCAACAGTATATGTCTCCATTGGCTCGTGATCATGAACCTCGGTTAGTTTAGATTTTTCAGTAGTGCCATCCTGTAGTTCTTGGGTATTCGGGATATCCTCCTTTGTTGTAATGGGAGCATTGGAGGGTTTATTGTTTTCATTAAGAGGGAGTACTGAATCTCTCGTTGTTTCTTGACGTACAATATTCGTTGGAGATTTTGTTGAATTCTGAGGTAATTCGCTCTTTCGTTCAGTTAGAGTTTCTGTACCAGGGTTTTTCTCAACTGGTATTTTCCACATACTCTTCTTTGTTTCTGGATTATAGTAATATACTTTGCCTATACTAGATTTTATGGCTTTCCAAGGATGAGGTAGGTTTATACTTGTAATCTGTGTGTTTGGAGTGGATGATTTCTCTTTGATAGTTTGATCCAAAACGATAGGCGGTCCTTGTTGAATACTTTTCTGCGATGGACTGGATTCTTTAATTTTGGATTTTTTTACGGGCGGAGACGCAGCTAGCTGTAAATATTGATGAGAACCTTCACTATTGGGGGGCGTTGGTGATATACTGTGGGTGGCGTGTACTGTGTCAATTTGAATACGAGTATTTTCAGCAAATATATTACTTTCTGTTGTTGAGGAAGTAGGTATTTTCTTGTGATGAGCGTCATCGATTGGGTTTTTCTTGGCAGTTGTAGTAGCAGAAGTAGCGGTAGCAGCAGAAGTAGCGGCAGTGAGTGTGGTGCTTGTATCGTTTTTATTAATTGAACGGGGTGTGTTGCTTGTATTCGCTGTTGCTAAGGGGGTAATATTTTTTCCGCGTACACCAATATATGTGGAATTATTTATTTTTAACGGTGTGGATAATCTGGGATCAATTGATGGCAAGGCGATATTTTTGGTTTTGGTGGGTTGATTCTCGTCCCAGGTAAGGGATTTCGAATCTTGAACAAGTTTTTCAATATCCGTGAGGGATGAAGTCAATATGGTCGTATTTTTATGTGTTGTTTTTGGAACGTAGTTCTTAGATATGGCAAGCACTGGTCGTTTTTCTTGTGGTTCATTTGTTTTATTGGGGACGTTCTTAAATGGAGCTGATCGTTTGGCCATCTGACGCCCCATGGTTTTCAAAGGAGGAGGAATTCGAGCTGTGGGCGTATTATCTTTAGAGTTATTTCCTTTTTGATTCTCGCGGGTAATTGTGCTTGGTTTGATCTGGGGGTCGTGTTCTGATATTTTATAAGGATTGTTTATCTCAGTGGCTACTGTAAGCTCGGGCGTTTTCTTTTGGCATGGTGTTTCTTGATGTATAGTGAAATTTGATTTCTCACGAGATATTGTGGGTACAGATTGTTTATAAGGCTCTGTGATAAGAGATTGGGCTACGGGGGAGTCTTGAGCAATTTCTGGTATTTCATCATCGGTATCCACGCTCCAATCTGTTGATATGGTACTTATACCTTTGTTTCCTACCGGATCAAAAAGGCTTTCAATTGAATTTTTTTCTTTTTCCTGGGTTTGGGTTATTGACATGTGTGATGTCAAATCTGGTGTTTTAGAGTATTTCTGGCTTGCTTCTTTTGAACGTGGATATAATCGCTTTGTAGGTCGATCATCTGCTTTTTTACTTTTCTCCGCTTTAGTTTCTCTCGGTTCAGGAATGGGGATTTCAGGGTGCCTTTTTTGAGGACTAGGGCTTCTTGGTCTAGGAGGAATATGTCTTGTAATAGTATGCGTTTCTGGATCATATTTACGAATTCTCGTAGGAGAATAGGATCGATCTCTTGGTGGTGAGTATACAGAGTCTCTTTCGTATCGATACTTTGGATAGAATTCTTTTTTACATTCTCTGGAAAGACTTCTTTCTGGACTACGCATTCTCCTCTCTCTTGAATAGGATGGCCTATATAGATCGTCACCTCTTGATCTTCCCCAATACTCATTGTAGAATTGATCGGATGATCTACTTGTTGGTCTGTGATTCTCTCTCGAATTGGATGTTGGTTTGGATGATAAAGGATTCATAAGTCTTTCATTTAAGGATCTATCAATCGTTGTTTTTTCGAACGAGATTTTGTCGACTTTCTGTTTTTTGGGAGAATTTGTAGTCATTTCTAGTCTGTATTTGATACCCTGTTGCCTAGAATCATACAAACTCCTTTTATTTATTTTTTGTTACTTATGATTAAAAGAAAGAAGCAAAGGAAAAAGGTCCGTATCAAAGCGGTTTATTCTTTATGTGACGTATGTCGCTTTTGTGTTCAGTGACAGCAACTCAGGAAAGTACTGGAAGTATCCAAAAAAAAATTCTCTTTGAGTAGTACATTAGAAATCTACCATCATCATCAAACACATGTATATATTTTATATCTTTATTTACTTTTATACTCGGCTTTCGTATTTGTATTCATTTATTTATTTTTGGTGTTAGAAATATTGTAACTTTATATATAGACAATAGTAATAAATAAAAATCATTCAAATCTGGGTTTGTGCCTATTGCTTATTATTTTTAAATTACTGTCTCACGGTGTTGATGCAATAGGCCCAAAGATTAAGAAAATATCTTCTTAAAGCTTGACAACTCTTAGCTTTGACTTGTCTAGTGTATTCAGTGAGATGATTTATTTTCCTAGCATTGACTACGGATAGCATCAATTCTGTAGGTTTTAATGACAAGGAGAAAAATAAGCATCTTTTTAGCCACCATTCTTAATTAGGTCAGGCGTCAGAAAACTTATGAATGTAGAGGCACTATCCGTATCAAGCTAATTATCCGTCCTCCTATGGGTATAGCGTGCAAAATAAAAGTAAAATACACTCCCTCCCTGTGTCAAGTTTGTAATTCACACTATCAGGAGCATCTATACCCGTTACTTTAACATTTGGTGTGGACAGACTAAAAGTTCAAAAAAAGGGCAAAAAAAGGGTAAAACAACTTCATCCAGAACTTAGTTAATCAGACTAATTTATGGCTGTCCACACCTTTTTTTAAAAAAAGTTCAAAATTAGTTCAAAATACATATTAGATAAAATTGTGCATATAATCCCGTCTCTGTCATTAAGTGAGAACCTTTTATTAGGAGTTTTTCTAGACTTCTTATTATATGGGACATCTTCTCCATAAAAAATGATTCTCTTCTCAATCCTAGTAGCAATGGAAGAAAACTAGCTTTTTGAACCTCCAAAAAAAAGGGCAAAATTAGTTAAAGCTCTCGCCCAATGATATGAAATTTTTGCTCTTTTTTGCCCTTTTTAGTCTGTCCACACCAAATTCTTTTTTGTGATGAATTCATAGGCCTATATAAAGAATACATTAATAAATAATTAGCATAATTTTTAGAAGCATAATTCGCCCCCTCCCCTCAAGTTTTATGTAAATCTTCACTACAAAGAGTCTAGCTATTATGTATTACAATTGATTTGTAAAAGTGGGTTGAGCAGTTTATTGAATGGATAGTAGACTCTAAGTGATGTGGTTGTAAAATGATAAGATTTACAGAAACTTTAGACAAAGTCTAAGTCACATGCTTATATTTCAAATTTTTAAAGATATAGAAAAGAAAAGATATGTATATATTTGCACTGATTTAAATTAACAGCAAAAATCAAATACTTTACCATAACTTCCACATAGATTTATTAGGACAGCTTTTGAATACTCTTCCAATTTTATCCATATTTACTATGGCTTATGTCCGTAATAGTGTTTATTTTTATGATGGATTTATTTTACATGATGTCTCAAGAAACTATACTTTTCTTATTCACTCTTTAAATAGTTATGACCACAACTACTTTAAGTATGATATACTTGTATATACTGTCGGCTACGGATTTAATAAAATCATGTTCACAAATAATATTGCTTTTCAGGGAATCCGAAAACCCCCTATCATTTTTATAGTTTTTTTGTTAGGTGTTGTTGTAAAGTTATCAAACAAAGAATAAAAAATAATTCTTACAAATAATAGAAAAAAGTACGCTTCTATAAAATTAATATATAGATATTTGGCTTTAAGTCTAAAAGTAAATAAAGTTTCTATAGTATATATATATATTATACATTAAGATATTAAGTCTATGCTCTAGATTGATTGGTCTATAGGCTCAGCATGCTTGAATTCACATAGCTAAAATTGACAAAGTTGAATTCGTTGGATGGAACTGAGGTATCAATAGGTGAGCCAACTAAGGGTTCTTCCGTAAATAAAGTATCAAAGTTCTATAAATTCAGAATGTTTAATACCAAATAGTATTTGTACTCTACAGTTAAGAGCAAAATACCTCTGCAGCTTCAGGATCGGTCTAAGAATATATATATAAAAAATTAATTAACTCGAACGTGTTTTTGTATAGACTTCTTACTCACCACAACAGGTACAATTGGTGGCTCTCCCTCCTGTCTTTCCAATGATTTCCAATTAATCTTACGAAAGAAAGGGTGTTTACGAATTGCTAATGATCCCTTTGGTTTAGCTCCTAAGCGTGCATTAGGATTTTTACGAAGTAACTGTTTACACCATAAATATATATTATACAGTTAGTATTTTGAAAACATAGAGCCCACAATATTTTGATATATACCTTTGCAAGTAAATCTTTGGCATCACTTGTAAAGTAATAAGGCATGTTGACTTTCTTTGAAAGAATAGAATCAATCGTTTTTTGTCGATTATTAGAACTAAATGGAGGCTAAATAAAGAAAATTAATAATAACCCATATACAGTTCACCAAGAGAACTTTTCTTTACCGAACCAGTCATCATATCAAAGATCAGAATACCCAAGCTCCACCAGTCTACAGTGTCATCGTAATGAAGACCCATCAGAATTTCTAAGAGTAGGATACTCAGTTTAACTTTCTTACAATACAAATGAGAACTTATATGCCCTTACCGGGTGCCATATACTCCGCAGTGCCACATATTGTGTTTGTTTTTCCATCCACAGGGACTTTTGACAAACCAAAGTCAGTCAACATAACATGTCCTTCAGCATTCAGCAGACAATTCTCGGGCTTCAGGTCTCTGTAGACAATACCGAGCGAATGCAGATGTTCCAGAGCAAGGACTAGCTCTCCTGCATAGAATGCGGCCATTGACTCCGAAAACATACCCTCTGAGAATTAAATCATTTTAAAATGTTAGTTTACTAGATTTATACTAAATGCTATTCACTTGCCTTGATCCAGGTATCTAAATAGTTCTCCGCCTACAGCATATTCCAGAATCATGTGTAGGTCTTGGGGTGTTTGAAAAGCATAAAATAGCTTTACAATAAAAGGGTGGCGCACTTCTTCAAGAATCTGACGCTCAGTTTTCACATGCTCAGCAGATTTTCCATGAACAACAAAAGAAGCCTTTTTAAGTACTTTCATAGCATAAAGAGCGGAAGACGACTGATGTTTGACTAAAAAAACTTTGCCAAATCTAGATTTATGATTAATTGATGTGTCAAAGATGCCTGAATCAATCCACCTACGCTCCCTTTCCCAAAACGCAAAGAGACTGGAAATCATCTGGACCGACTTTTCCAAGAGTTTTGGACTCTTTGGCAGTAGATGCAACAAAATCTTCGTCTAATGGAACTTCGTAATTCTTGTCTCTACTAGTATCGTAGTTTCTTGGTGCTGGCTCATCTGTATCGCTATTGTAGCTGCTGGGTGGATTCGAATCATCTCCAAGTTTCAATCTAGCAAAAGAATTTCCAAGACCTGATGGAAGTTGCGTGGCATCCCCATTTATGGCATCCGAACGTAAGCACGGACCAAGAGAGTCTTCTTCAAATTCGAACATGCAGAGGTAGAGTGAGGATAATAGGGTAATGTAAGAGGGCGTACTGGATTGGGATTATTTACAGGAATCTAGTACTGTTACTCCTTTTCTATGAATCCGCAGTTATGTTATAAATCATGAACAAGGATGACGACAATAATGCATTTGATCTGATTGAATATCGGATAAAATATATTACCGCTAAAGAGTGGCTTATAAAAGAGTAGAGGAAATGGTTTTGATACCAGGTTAGGGTGACCATGGCATGTATGACGGTAATAAGAATTGGGTATATGTTTTATTGGAATACATGCATTTGGATAACTATATATTAATTGTAATTTTTTATTCTTATATAAACCTGCTTTTTAATATTTTAATAATTATTCACAATAGTTTTTAAAAAAAAATTCGTCTTTCAGACTTTGAAGTAGCGCATATCCAGTGCATACTCAAGTTCTTTTTATACGATATCCAAGTCAATTCACTGACCATCATTTAAGTATATAGAAATACGGATTTTTATTGTCAAAGCTTAATTAAAAAAATTTACAAGAGAACGCAAATATAAAGTATATGAAATTTGACTACTAATATAACAAAAAAATTCCTTGTCACTATCCAAAATCGAAACAACCGGGTTTAAACATATTTCGTTAATCCTAAGGGGGTCAAAGATTTCTTATAGGAGCCGACGTTTCGATTTTACCAGAGTAGCTAAATGTGACATGCTGTTCAAAGTATAATGATTACACATTCCTGCTAGAGAAATCAGCGTAAGATTTCTTGATTTCTAACCCCTAATCAACGAACTTTAATTTTATTTTTTTCAACACGTCATTTAGGACCCCAGTGTGGCAGCTAGCACTATTTACTTGAAAAATGAACATAGTATCATGCTCTTTATTTAGTTTTGAGTACAATGGCTTTTTTGGCGCTCTAAATGGAATTTATATAATTAGAAAAAATTAAGTAAAAGAAATTGTAAATAATTTACGCAGTGATAAAATGTAACAGTTTTAAGCAGGGAAAATGTAGAATTTTAAAGCGAAATCTGCTTTCCACCTTAATTTTTGCTCATAGAGTACTCATCCTCTTATAGCGTAGGGAGATTTTCTTGATATAGACCTTTGTCTAAACAGAAATTCCTTTTAAATAAATAAATAAATAAATAAATGAATAAAAGTAAATGTAAAACTTCATATGTGACATAAGAAGGAAACAAATTATTGTAGTGCAACACAAGACTTCACAATAAAGGTATGAGACGTCACATGAAGATCTTCTTCATATTCTTTTTTTCTTTTTATAATTTTATTTGTTTCGTTGTCATCAACATTTTGGTGGTCGGGCATGTCAGTGTGGCCCTTGTTTAGAATCATCCTGGCCCTTATTCCGATTTGCGTCTGTTGGCAGGTCCAGGCAGATCAAGATATTATATTAAAGCACGACCTACGTAAAATCGTTCCAACTGCCCAGTTTGGATTCCTCTCCAGGGGCCAACTTACTCTCACGCTACAAGACTATAAAGTAAGAATTCTCAGATAAATGAATTAATATTAAAAGAACATGACTATTCGTTTATTGTGTCATAAAGTTGGATAATCCATCAGCACCTGGTCCTATTGGATTTTATATACGCAAAGGAGAAATTTATGGAGAAACATGGGAGGAAAAAGCAGATCAAGGTTGTATTCTAGAGAAGAGTGAAATAACAGATGAAATAGCAGACGGAATTAGTGTGGTCGAGAGCTTGGAAGAGATAACAGAAAGGTAAATACAAAAGAGGAAAGAAATAAAAGAGATTTAAAACAGAAATGTTTAAATCTATGAAAACATAGATGGCAGAAGACCCTGACAGTAGAGCCAAGCGAGGAAGGAGTATGGAAAATAATACTGGTAAATTGTAAAAATACCGGAGTATCACTTAATGTAAGCATCAATAAATCGGACAGAAGAAGTTCATCGGATATGTAAGTACTGACTGGCGATTGCTGATATAATGCATATTTTTTTTAGCTGGAGATGAGCATGATAAATCCCGGGAATAACCATTTATCAGCAGGAGACACACCTCTTTTTAAAGTATACGGAGCTGTGTTTCTCTGTTACCTGTGTTTATCCATTTATTGGTTGTATTTGATCGTTCAAAAAGATACAACAGTTTTTCGTGCTCACTGGTTTATGTAAGTTTCTACATTCTGATGTTTTCTTTTATATGTCAATTTTTGACTAATGGTTTATAGGCTTCTACTTGTAATGAGCATGTGTTTTAACAAGGCATTGCAATCAGTAAGCTGCCATAACTATACATTCGGCAAGATGGACCTCATAGTTTGGTTTAGGCGAAGTACTATTACATGAAGATTGGACTCTTAAGTAATGGTTGGCGTATCGGTTTTTATGTTTTTGCATTGTAAGTACTAAAGAGATCATTGGTGTTCCTCCGTCCACCCACATTGAATTTAACGGGATCATTAGTATTAAAGGGTTCCTAAGTATTCTGATTATTGGTAAACACGGTTGAGCAAAGGAAACACATACCGGCGGTGAATAATACAAAATATATAGTCTTGTTAGCCTCTGGATGGATATTTATCAAGCCATTTCTATCTAGCAAGGACAAACGGGTCATTTCTGTACTTGTTCCATTGCAAATATTAGCTAATGTAGCAACTGCAATACAGAGTGAGGCAGCTATTAAATCTACTGATTGGACAGTATGGGTAAGCATAGTATGATGCAAAAAAAAACATATGCGCATATATATATAATTCAAGAAATAATGTAATGATTTTTTATAAATATAGACGGCGATTCTGCCTTTGGCTGACATTTTTGCCTGTGGAGTTGTACTATGGACAATTTTACAGACACGAAAACATCTTGGAGCCGCAGCATCTGCAGATGGAAAAGGTAATTTGATACCAAAACATTATTAGTTAAGTGAGGTATTGATTGTATAAAAAGAACTTGATGTCTTGAAAAAATATGACCTGTGGTCTTCGTTCTATATTGTTGGGCTCGTGTATGTGTATATTACACGTATAGTTGTGCAACTCTTACAAGTATCGTTACCGTTCCGTTACGTGAGCTGGTTAGGAGTAGCTGTAGGCGAGCTTGCTACATTACTATTTTTTGGGTTTATTGGGTAAGGGATAGTATTGGGTAAGGTGATATCGAGACCTTTGAAATTGAATATGTATATGATCTAGACATACTTTTAGGCCATCTTTAAACAATCCGTACATGGATCTACCTGATCAACACTCAATTGATTGGCGTGACAGCCGAGAAGATAGAGGTCAGACCATGGTAATGAACCGAAGAGATATATAAATCTCTTTGAACTAGAAATGAGATTTATTTCTTAGAAAAATAGTGTAATTGCTACAAGATATGTATTTATATAATTCAATGCACAAACAAGTAGTGTCATCTTTACTATTTTATTTTATATACTACTCGCAACTTTTGTATCTTCTAATAAATGTAATGATACAAGTTACACAAGTTTCTAGGACAAATGGTAGGATATAACTCGGTTTCGTTTAGATATATCATATAAAGATCATCGTTGGAGACGAAATAAATAGTGAATTCAAGAAATATATTGTGCCAATAACGAGTTGAAGTATCCAAAAAATTTCTATTCTTTTATTTGAACATTGGAAGTGCTTATAATTTATCTGTAATTTTTTCTTCTTTTTCTCTCTATTTTTCTTCCTTTCTTTATTTATAATTTTTGAATCCATCAAGCTAATCATATTAAAATATACTAAATACAGACATACGCTTTTTCACAACAAGAAGGAAAGAACAGCTAAAAAAAGCCTTCACTTATTTTTGACGAACACAAACAAAACTACGTCACCAGTAGGCTCGTTCATTTCATTTTAATCGCAGAGCGTCTTTCTCTAGTGTCTGTACTTTGACAGACAATGTCGTTTGCAGGATACCTTTTCGGCAATGTTGATGAACAAGGCCGTTTAGACACAGATCTTGATGCAGTAAGCTGCAATTAGTCTGAAAAGTTATATAATTTAGCTTACAAAGAAACTATAGGATTTGAGAGAAACCCTTGAAAGCGTCGATGCTGGCGTTATATCCAAGATCTTTAGTAATGATACATTCGGTCTTAACGAAGCTGGCAACAAAGACGATGACGACGATGCAGATGATGACATGACTCAGGCTGAACAAGCTCGCAGCTTAGCAGCAGCAGCAATTACACATGCTTCAGATGCCGTCGATTACTCTGATTTTGATGAAGCTGTACCAGACGATCCTATATTTTCAGACAAATACTACCGGCGTGGAATGGGAATGCTACAAAAGACAATGCCTCGGTCACGACTCCATCTTGTATCCGATAGTTATGATGACGATGACGAACCAGAAAAAATTACTACCCTTAGTGCTATGCCTCTTTCTACACAACCAACCAGTACGCTACCAAATCTACAAATACCAACAGCCTCACCTTTACCACAGATCGCACCAAAGGAAGATGTAGATATCAAAGAACTCTTTCCAGCATTTGAAAAGGGAAAAATCCTTAAATTTTCAGATCTATTCATGGCAAAAATTAAACGACCACCTAAACTTCAACCTGTTAGTAATCCAGGTAGGTTTCTTTTGCGCATGATAGTTTGTAAAAAAAAAAATACATGTGATAATCTAAAGCAAAAATGAAACAATAGTTATTTTTGGAGATGGGTATGAGTATGAGATTGAAGCCGACGATAGGGCACTATTCACAAAAAGCAAACGCATTGAGCGTATGCGACCTGAAACAGAGCGGACGTCTTTTAAAAGACAAAAAGTAGAGGCACATAATATAAACAAAGAGGATGATTCTAATGACAGCGACTCGGAAGAATGTAATTCATCAGATGAAGCAGATAATATGGTAGGTACATCTTATATTGTACGGCAACACAAAATTTACACAAATCAAGGCATTCGATACAGAACCTATGATTCGTGAACTGAATGACGACAAAGTTTATCATTCGGTTATGCTGGATCATTGGGAAGATGATATTGTTTGGGATGATGAAGTAAAAAAAGAAAGGTAATAATAATTTGATTAAGTTATACGAAGACTAAACAGCCTATAGTCGACGACCCGAAGAAAATGAAGAGATGTCTGTAATCAAAAAGCATCTAAATGATCGACTAGAGGAAGGTGATTGGGTTGACGCTATTATATGGAACAATGAGAAACCGGATCCAGCGTCTATGAGGATTATGCTAGATCTAAATGATCCGAATATGCTCTTTGACTGCGAGGAAGTTGAAGCAACCAAGGCTCAATTGATAGAGCCAAAACATGTTAAAAAAGGCAGAAAACCTTTACCCAGACCTTTGCCAAAGGTAAAAAAAAACAATTTTAGGAAAAGAAAGTAAAGTTATGCTAATATTAATTTTTCTTAGATTCCTATTGTATATAACACAGAACCCGAACCTCACAGCAAGCTGCCTCTTAATCCCTTTAATCTTTCCAACGATCGTCATTATGAAATGCATCTGGCTGGAAGATTGGTTCGTGTACGACAGACTCTCGGTGAACTTATTGTCCAACACGCTTTACCAGCTTCTAAATTGCACCCTGCTTTGGTAAATACGAATATGTGCATCAATAGTCAAAGATTTATATTTTGTTTTAGTATAAAACCCGTCTTTCCAAGGCTGAATTGCGCTCTTTCCATCGTCCAATGATGCAACTTCCAGTTGGTTCAGATATTATATTCTCACGCGTCAGAGTTAGCAAAAGGAAGAAAAAGGATAAAAAGAAGGGCCCACCAGAAGTCCTCAGAACAACCAAGGAATTGACACTAAAAGACAACTCGCCTTTTGTGTTGATGGAATATTCGGTCAGTAAGATTTAAGTGTAAAGTCATGCGTTACTAACTTTAGCATGTAGGAAGAACACCCACCTATTATATCAAATGTAGGTATGGGTACATTGATTATCAACTATTACAGGAAAACGGAGCCGAAGGATGAACACGTTCCAAATGTAAGTTAAAACTCAAAATTGAATATGAACAAACAGCTTTAACGAAGAGTAGAGCGATATTGGCGAGCCTTTTGTTCTTGATATCGGAGATACTTCTCCTTTTCTTAATTTTGGTAATGTGGAGCCTGGACAGACAATGTCTGTGCTTTATAACAATCTTATCCGAGCACCTCTTTTCCGACACGATGTGAAGCACACTGATTTTCTACTTGTCAAAAGTACTCACAACAACATAACTAAATATTACATCCGCGAAATTCCGGCAATGTTTGCTATTGGCCAAACTTATCCTGTACAAGAAGTACCAGGACCTCACTCGCGAAGAGTAACCACAACAATTAAGAACAGACTCCAAGTGGTAGCTTACCGTTTGATTAAAAAAAATCCTCTCCACCGACTGAAAATGAGCAGATTAGCGCAAAAATTTCCAGAGTATTCTGATCTGCAAGTACGACAGCGACTCAAGGAGTTTTTGGAGTTCCATCGTCGAAGTAAAGATGGTGGTGGCGGATACTGGAAAACACGTGGTGGAGGTGATCCACCGAATGAAGAAGCGCTGCGTAAGATGGCAACACCAGAGATGGTTTGTCTATATGAGAGTATGCTAGTAGGAGAGCGCCACTTGCAAGATCTTGGTTATGGTGATGTAAACGACGAGGATGAAACTGGAGAAGGAGACTCGAAACTGGAAGTAGAGCAGCAGTTAGCACCCTGGTTTGCTACTCGCAATTTCATCAATGCTACTCAAGGAAAGGCAATGCTTAAGCTATACGGAGCTGGTGATCCGACAGGCAGAGGAGAGGGTTTCAGTTTCATTCGAGTGTCAATGAAAGATATCTTTTTACGTCAAGGAGAATCTGCTGAAGAAAAACTAGGTAAGTCAAACCGTTCTGCTCTATTATGTTCGATTCCTATAGAGTCTAATTATTATTATGATTTTTATGATGCTTAGCACAAATTGAGGCAAGACCAAAAAGTGCACATCGTTACAACGTTGCCGAGCAGCAGCAAATCTACAGAGAGGAGGCAAGTCTTTGGATTTTATCAGTATATATTAGTATATCCGTGAGATTTGAGTTGCTTATCTATTGCACTACAGATTGCACGTATTTGGAAAGCCCAGTTGGACTCACTTAGTAATAAGGCCGAACCTAATTTATCTGATCACGAAGGGGATGAAGATAGTGAATTGGATGAGCGCGAACCAGCTAGCCCATCCATGGTAAGTTAATTTGCTAAAATAGCAATATAATACTAAAAAAAACTGGCTATGTAGATGGAATTGGACTGGAATCCACACCATAGACCTAGTTATTCAGCATCTCCATCACCCATGACGCCTTCTTATGGAAGGCGATTTGATCGTGCTCAATCTGAAACTGTGGATGATGATGAGATATCTGTAGCAGGAAGTTTGAGTTCACGAACCAGTTATCATGTAAATAATCCCAACAAATACTTGGTTATCAAGCGTTTGATTCGTCAGAAGAATGGTGAAAAGACGTGGCAACAAGAGGTCGTGAGGGATCCCGTTGTGATCAAATCTTACTTGCGTCAACGACAAATGATTGAAGAAGAGGCTACAAGGTAAGATCATCACTGTTTTTTGTACTACATGATTCACATATATTTTTGTGTAGCGCTGAGGCATTGGAGCCTACAGACGATGTTGAAAAGAATGCACGAATGAAGAAACGTATCCAAGATCAACTTGCCAAATTGAAGCGTAACGCTGAGCGTCGTCGCCAGAGGCAGTTGGCAAAACAAGCAGGATTGGCAGAAAATCCAGTCCTAGGCCTTATTCGCGGAAAACGAGAGGGCGCAATGGTGAGTGCACAGGATTGCTTTTTTATTTATTTATTTTTCTTGTGCTGACATTGATGAAACACTAGCGTAAATGTGGCAACTGTGGCCAGCTGGGTCATATGAAGACCAACAAAAGTTGTCCAATGTACTACATTGTCAATAATCCTGCAAATGCTCCACAAAATGCCGCAACACCCGCACCAACCACTCCACAGGCAACAACAGACTCCCCAGCACCTTGAAAATATACACAATTTATTTTCGTCGTCGTCGTCTTCTTCTTTAGGGGGAAAGCATATAAATTTAGCACTTTTCCCTCATTCACATACATCCACATGCATTCTATCATTCTCTGATTGGATAAACTGCGTTATTTTTGAGAACATTCATAATACAAAAGACGCAATTCTTAATTTGGAACAAAAAATAAGCACTGCAAAACAACTCTTTGTCCCTCATAAATATAATCACAAAAGCAAATCTCTTGCTAAAATTATAATCATCTTTCTCTTTCTCATGGTGGTATTTAACGACTTTTGTATTATACTTCCATATGATATCATACAATCCATTCTGTCTCAATTGGACCTTAAGGATATATTGGTGTGTTTGCAAGTAAGCAAAACATGGAGGGATATAACTCTTGATACTCCTTGTCTATGGTATGATCTGGATTATGAATCCATCAATATCTCTCCTTGCTTTGATTTCCGTCTATCTTCCGCACGACGCTTAACACTAGCTAAAGGCACCACCCAAGAACTCATAACACGGACCTTTGATACTATAATATCATCTAATTGCCATTCGTTCCGAACACTAGGTAATGAATTGTTAAATCCGATACATTGTTCATAAGCCAACAAACTATTTTATTGTCTTGACTAGAACTTAGTATGCCATGCGACATTGGAATTCTCTTCAAGACAATAGAGTCTCTCAGATCAAGTCTTACTCATCTCCGATTGGACAACACTTCCCTACCTCTCGATATTTGCTTTAATACTCTCTTACCAATAACTCAACTAACTCACCTCAGTCTGCGACATTGTGCTTGGTCTTCAAAACGTACCTTTATCAATGATCCAAAATCATCCCAATTGCTTTCTCTAAAAGTCCTCGATCTATCTTATCTTGACTGGCGCTATGTTCGTAGTGGCTGTCTTGTTAGTGTTTTGAGGAGGTGTCGCTATCTACAACAACTGGTCCTATATGGTATCCGAATTGACGCGTTTTGCCCAATACTTCGCCTTATGGAAGAGTCATGGCCCGATCTTCAAGGTTTTCACTATGATCCCTACACCAATCTACTAGATCACACTTGGCTTCCTAGCTCTAACAATGTCAAGCAGCTGTCATTACGGACATGTAAAGTACGCTCAGATGTTCTCTCCGATGACTTAGTCAATTCTGTGGCCCGTATATCCCACCATTCCCTTTACAAACTGGACATCAGTCGCAACTGGCATCTCACCGACAGATCTTGCTCTGTGTTTGCTAGTTTTGGATTGCCTTGTCTCAGAGAACTCAGCTTATTTCATTGTTCTTGCCTTAGTGAGTCCGGCTTGAGTGCTTTGTTATTGGCATGTCCAGTATTGACTTTCGTTGATATGTCTTATTGTCAAGGTGTTACGGATCAAGTTGTAAACGTGTTAAGTAAACTGGTTCTTGTCCAGTATGTAAATATGTCGAGTTGTCCTTATATCACTTCAAGTAGTGTAATGTCACTTGTGAATCAGAACCAAAAGTTGAAGCAATGTTTGGTTGATAATTGCAGTTTAGTGATAAGAGAAAAATTGGTATGTTTTGTAAAAACGCTGATGAGAGAAATTCGATTATTCTTCCAAGAATAATCAGAATAAAGATCTCCTTTTTTTGTATATAGAACAGTCAATAAAGTATTTTCATTTTCATCTTCATTTTCAAGTGGCTCAATAAATAAGCGTCTCTTTCCATGATTGCACATCCATACTACCCACAAAATATATTCCTCCCGGGATATATACCGAATACATTAAGCACACCACAACTGCTTATGTTCGCAACTATTGTGATGAGTGTCTTTTTTACATGTGCCTACACAATGGTTCGCAACAAGGTTGGTGGTGTTGATGCACTGCGATTCATTTGGTTCCTTTTGTCTGGATTCCTTCATTGTGGATTCGAACTTTATTTTATACTTCATCATGACACCCTAGCCAACCGAACCGATATAATAGCTCAGTTGTGGAAGGAATACGCTCACAGTGACTCGCGATACTTGTCATCTGACCCCCTCGTACTCAGCTTAGAGACTATCACAGTGGTAAGATAACTTGTTTCCCTATTAAATCTAACTGTCCAAGTGTATTTTGGGTCCTCTTTGTCTAGTAGCGGCATTGTCCATTCGGTCTCATCATCCAAGCCAATATGTTTGGCAGTTGATTATCTCTGTCGCTCATATGTTTAGCTGTTCCCTGTATTTTGTTATGGATTTACCAACAGGATTCCACAACTGTGATCCTCATCCAGTGTATTTCTGGGTATATTTTGTTACATTCAATGCATTTTGGCTTGTGGTAAGAGAGAAATATATACATAAAAAAAGTGTATATATTCATAAAAAATTGTTGATGTAGATGCCTTTTTTGCTTGTCATCCAAAGCTATCACAAGATTACTTATAATGCTCAGAACAAACCCAAAGCCTCCTGACGTTGTAAACTTATTTGAGATTAAATAAATAATAATAAAGCGCCTTGGCGAGTATGTCGTGGCTTAGGCTTATGCGACTTGTTGTGTAATGTGGTATGCCAAAGAATACCATCCAATCCAAGTAGGATCGATTGATGGCACAGACAAGATTCCCCATGATGCTGCAGTTGAAAGAGCTCAGCAAGTGAAATGTAATTACCCTTTGAATGAGATTAAGCCGACATATTGATAGAAAAGAATTGTTTGCTTAGACCGACCACCTAAGCTTTCAACCGACCCAACCAAAACTATATTTGTTGGACGACTTAACTTTGACACAACGGAAGGTAAAATGCATCTATATGGCATGTTACCCGAATAACAAATATACCTAAAAGAAAGAAAAAATTGGTTACTTCAGATACACTAAACCAACACTTTGGTCAGATTGGGTCAATCGAGTCTTTACGTTTGATTCGTAATCAAGGTAAATATTTATGCAGACGCACGTTGACGTAAAGAAAAAGAGTAAAGAACTCATGTTTGATACAAGTAACGGGTGCATCTGAGGGTTATGCCTTTATAACCTACGATACCACGGAGGCAGCCAAGGAAGCTTATCAAACGGCTCATCAGACAATAATAGATAACCATGTTATTTTGATTGACTATGAAAGAGGGCGTATAATGGAAGGTTGGGTACCTCGCCGACTTGGAGGTGGGTTTGGTGGTAAAAAAGAGAGCGGCCAGCTTCGTTTTGGCGCTAGAGATAGACCATTTCGACGCCCAATGTAGGTACATTACATTTGCTGTATCTTTTACTCATTATTATATCTAGACTTGGACCTAAGGAGGGATCAGAGCAAATAATTATATTGCCAGATCAACGCCGAGAAGATACATGGCGAACCAAAGCTCATACTCTATCCCGGCCATCTTCGACCGACCATCTACCTCGCTTTCGGGAAGATTCTCTTAACCGTAGCCATAGTCGTAGTCGCAATTCTCGCTCACGAAGTCCTCACTCAAGAAGATCTCGTCCACGTAGCCCTAACTCAAGAAGCTCTCGTCCGCGTAGCCCTAACTCACGAAGCACTCGTCAAAGGAGTCCTCCCTCACGAAGCTCTCGACTACGTAGCCCTGACTCACGAAGTTCTCGCCTACGGAGTCCTCACTCACGAAGCTCTCGCCCACGTAGCCCTGACTCACGAAGTTCTCGCCCACGGAGTCCTCACTCAAGAAGCTCTCGTTCACGAAGCCCTTATTCGAGAACCAACCGTAATTATAATCATCGTTCATTTTATCATGCTTCAGATAGACATGATAGAAAAAGGGCTGGATAAAACCATGTCCCAGATTAAAAGCCTCACGGCAAATAATGTTCAATTAAAGCTGACTTTTCAAAGATCCCATGCTTAGATATACTTTATATATATATGGCTAGTAATTTTTATAATCCTCGTTATTATCAAACATATTGAGAGTCCTTTTTTTTTCCTGTTAAAAATATCATTGATACATACATATGATTGTAATACACGTAGGATGCGACTAAGGGTCTCCATGCTTGGCATAGTATTGATTATATTTGACTTTTTGGGTTTATTTATCATTTATTCTTTACATTATAATAGATAAAAAATTAGGTTCTCAAGGCGGCCCTTCCATTTGTTAATAGTATTTTCCAAGCACCACTTATAAACCTTTCTCAGATAAAAAAGGGCTCTATTTTATATTTCATTACTATTAATATTTTAGGCATATTAAATTTACTAAAAAGCTCTTTATTATTCGATTCTGTACTCTGAAACCATTAGCTTATTCGTAGTATTGCTGCCTGTATTAATATCTATGACATGTATCTAAGAAGAAGAAAACATATAGATAACTTGATTTTAGCATAGTGTTAATACAAACTGGAACCAAAAAGAAAAAGAAAACAATGATTAAAGATTAAATACAAACACTGGCACAACATTAGAAATGTCTTTTAAAGTCAATTTTTTCTCTATCCTCCGCATCAGTTGTTCGGATGTGCCATGCGACGAGTGATACAGTTAAAATAGGGGCGCCATAAGCAAGAAAGTTTAATCTTGATCATCACAGAAATCAAAGAAAGTTGTTTCTGATACAAATCAAGAAGAACAAGTACAAAGAGATTCGATGTATATCTAGTATATGCTACTCCCATGCAATAACATAATAGATATTGACTTTCTTGTTGAAAAACTGTGGGGAAATCTATAGTAGTGTAAAATAAACCTATTAAATCAAAATGGATATTTATGGATCACAAATTTATGAGTTATTAATAAGACTACAAATCGTATGTGAGAGTGGGATTACCAATAATGCACCAATGTGTGTGAACTGTCTCACTGCACCTCCTATAAACTAATCGTCATAGTGTCGAACTACAGAACGTGCAGATCAAAATTCACTCGAGAGGATAAATTCTATAAAAAGGCTTTGAACTTTACATCATGTTTGACTCAACGACAAGTTCTACAACAGGAAAGCTGTACTATTCTTAAATACAAATAATAAAACAACCAATAGTAAGCTATGAAGTAAAGCATTTCTTATTTATCACTTGATAAATAATGAAAGAAAAAGAAAAATGATAGCTCTAGTAAAAGTCAAAGTGTTTACATTCAAAGGAACCCCGCCAAAAGCACATCGCATCTTAAAGATAACCATCACACTGAAAAGTTAGACGATCTAAAAAGAGCTCGCCTTTATAGAGACAATAAAGGGCATTTTAGTTTCTCTAAAAAAAATAAAAAATAAACACACTTTGGCTTCATTTCAAGTCCCTGAGGTGAAAGAATGATTTGACATCGTGAACACTTCCATAAAAGAGGAGACAGTCCGTGTCACACTAATTGGCAGACTACCAAAGCAGTACAGACTACTCAGCGTCAGGGCTGCCTTTGAACCTCTCTTCTTTCTCTTTCCAAAAGAAAAAAGAAAAACGGCAGATCATGGCCGACATGACAACACGCACATCAGCGCCTCTCTCTAAGCGCAAGTCAATTCTCGGAGACCTTGGCATAAAAACAGGGGGACATCCTTCTAAAACACCCGCTACAAGAACTACAGCTGCAAAAACAGCACCTACTAAACCCACAGCTGCCAAACCTTCTGTTGCCAAACCTTCTGCGACTTCAAATGGAAACACCCTTTCACCAGGGCCTGGCTTAAAGAGGGCCAATACAGTCGGAAGTGCACCGACTGCAAGAGCGACAACCACTCCCAGACCCCGACCGCTGTCATCGATTCAGAAATCACCATCCTCATCTACTAATCCATCACCACCAACTGTACAGAAATCTTCAAGTACCCTTAGCCGTACAAGCAATTCTTCTTCAGGAAGTGCGTCGAGTAAGCCTGGACGAAAAACCCCTTCGAATATTCTTTCTACTGGCTCCGCAGTGCGTTCCTCCCCAAAGTCTCCTACCACACCTCTTCCTAAACGACGCTCAGTTGTTCCTCTTGGCCCGAACTCTCCATTAGCTCGACGTTCATCTGTTGCTGCTGGAGCACCATCACAGCATGTGACAAAGCGTATGTCTACATCCAGTCTCGACTCTCTGGCAGAAGTTAAGGCACTTAAAGACACGGTAAATGAAAGAGAGCTAAAGAAAAACAACGGGTGATAAAAGCAATCTAGCCGAGCTAATTCGCCCTTATAAGCAGTTGATGCACAGGGAGGAATTACTTGAAGAGAAAGATAAGCAATTACAAGATCTTAGAGGTCGTATAGAGCAGCTCGAGAAGGAATACAGTGAGCGATTGGATCAAGAACACCCTATGTTGTCTTCTTCTTCGCATCTCATTCCATGCGATGTATCCATTGATTCAGAACATGCTATTCTAGATGTTAAGGAGGACAAGGATTCGGTGGCAATTTCTAATGATATTATTACAATGGTAAGCAGGTGATGGTTATTATGAATGTGAATGTGAATACGGACTCGGACTCGGACTCGGACTCGGATTCGGATTCGGATTCGGATGACCACAGATAAAAAGATATGACGTGACTCTAAATATATCCTGACATTAGCACGGTCAAGAAGTTTCGACTCTCAGAGAACAACTAGCCACAGCCGAAAAAGAAAATGCGCAGCTCAAGAAAGTAATTGATGAGGTATGCAGTGTATAAAGGGAACATAAATGAACAAAACTCACCCTGTCGGAACCAGGAGAAGGAAAGAAGTGTAGGGGTAGAGAGATCCCTAAGAACCAAACAAGAGCTGACAGAAAAACGACTGGAAGAAAAAGAAAAAATCCATCAAGAGATTCTGGTCAGCATAAGACTCGATCATAAAAAGACACTAGAGAATCTCAAAGGAGAACATGAGCGCCAATTTTCTCTCTTACGTGAAAGCCATCAGGTAAAATAGGTCTTCATTGCGATCACTGTAATTTCTGAAACCTGTGTTCCACAGGAAAAAGAACGCAAGACGACTGATATGCTGCGTCAAGATAAAGAAGCCTTTCTGGCCAGCAACGCAGAATCACACCAGACAGAAGTAACAATGCTGAAAGAGAGAATTAGTACACTTGAATCTACTTTGGAGGAATCTAAGAGTGTGATCAATCTTCGAAAGCTGGAGAAGCAACTAAGTGATCATCATATTGTATTCGAAGAATACAAACGTCAGTCAGAACAAGCCACGGAAGCACTTGAACGCAGATTCAGAGATGAAATGCAACAATTACAGAATGGAAGCGATGATACTGCCCAAGCATGGGTTGAGAAGAACAGAGCTGGTCAACAAGAAATTGATCGTCTTCACAGTATTCTCCAGGAACTTGGAGTAGCTCATCAGGATGACATTGCTAAACTCGAGGCAATTCATCTGACACAACTCGAGGAAGCTAAGGCCAAGAGTGATGCACAAGAGGCTGAACTTGATGGACAATCCCATCAGATTGAATCACTCCTCTTTCAAGTAGAGACACTCCAAACGGCTCTTGAGGCAGCAACACTAAGACTTGAAGAACACACAGTAAAACTTCATAACAAAGATAGCACAGAGAGTTTGAATGGTGTTCATATAAGTCAAAGGGAGAATTTACATCGATTATGTGAGGAGAAACTGCAGACACGACAGAGAGATTTGGATGAATTGCATAGTCGTATCAGTGAATTAAAAGAAATGCATGATGCCCAGCTTAACAGACTTGGACATGAAAAAGCTAAAGAACTCCAGGAGTTGCAGCGAGAGCTTGCAGGTCTTAAGGAAAAGCATCAAACTTATTCGATCACTAGTGAGGTAAGAGCTTAAAATATTTTTATATACGAGCGTGTCTATATATCGTTGTGTACATAAGGAACGAATGCAAGCTATTGCCCATCAACACACCAAAGAAATCGGTGTTATGCAAACACAATACCAAAGACTTGTGGATATTAAGGACCGTGAGTTGGAGGATTATGCCTATCGTGTTAGAGCTCTCTCGGCATCACGCCAAAAAGAACTTGATCAGTTTAGAGAGGAAAGCACTGAAAAAATTACTAAGCTAGAATATGAAATTGAAGGCTACGAGGTGAGTTTGGTTTTCCGTTGTCTTGCCTTCTTGTTGTTATACAAAGTCCATCTTTCCCATCGCCCTATTCCACCCTTAAAACTCTTCGCAATGGCAACAACGCTCTATTTATCATACTACTTTCCTTCATATTCTTATACATTCTTTACTGGATTACAAAGTATTACACAATGATGATCTGAATTCCTCGTACTATATATTCCTGTCGATGTAATGCCTTTATTCGTTTTTTATTCGTTTTTTATTCTTGTTTTTTTTTCATATTCATCATCCCTATTATCTATCTTTTACCATCCTTCTGTCTCCAAACTCTTGTATATAGTCACGCGTGAAAGAGTTCGAGCGTCAAACACAAGAGTTGAAGAAATCCCTTCACCAATGGGAAAATCAGGGAAATGCAGACCAAAATGTTATTGACAAACTCAAACACGATTGCTCTGCACATCGCGACGAAAATGACCAGCTTATCACGTAAGTTGATAATATGAACTTATATCAAATCTCACACTTCATTTAGTCTGCTTAATCAGCTACAAAGTGAGCTACATAAAGGACGAGCGTAGAGTCATAGAACTCGAAGCAAATATCTGAATAGGATACCCAACAATCTTGGAATACCTTGGAATAAATATATCCTATATATTGGCTCTCAAAGATTAAATAATCATATGATTTTATTTCCCTTTTCTTTTTACTCGTTTGTATTGTTTACATTTGTAATAGGATCACACAAAGAATTGTAGTTTTTATGTAAACCGTTGTACTTTTTTTCTTCTAAGCTATATATATTGCTACACTGTTCTTAACATTTCGCATATTAATGGTTAAACGGCTCCAAAAGACGTATTGCTCAAACCACGACACTTTACTGAAAACGTGTTTACTACATCCTTGAACTTCTTCAACGACCGAGTACTGTATGTTCATAATAATTAGTCTTCTTTTCTTTTGAAAAGTTGCATGGACTTTGTGTATACTGTACCCAATGATTCCTTTAATAAATGCAATTTTCTCGGTATCCGTTACCAAGGCAGAAGGAAAACCATCCTTAAAACCCCATATAAATAAATAAATAAAAACATTTTCTTGAAACAGTTACAATGTGTACTTACGCGAAGGAGTAAAATAGGAAGCCATTCTCTGCATGCTTGTGTGTATTTTATAGTCATTTTAAATAGAACATCTACCAATGGGCCTGAGAACGATCTCGGAACATGTCCACCAATTCCCTAGCCACATTGTTAGTATTAAAATGATATATTTTATGCAGATGTAATTTACTTACTACAAGCAGCTTTTCTATAATCTGTGGCCCCATGTTTGTCACAAGAGTGTTGACAATTGCTCCAATTTCAGTCCCTTCTTCATACTCTTGACCAACAAACTCGGCCTAAAATAAAGGTAAAATAAAATATTTTTTTTAAAGATATAGATTAGTTCACAGAAGAAAACGTCTTGTGTTTTACCCACCATAAAATTCACTGCTGCTTTAAGAGCAAGTCTCTCTTGTAAGCCCATACCAGCAATACAAAACATAAAGATGGTGTTGATTTGATCGTATGATAGTTGATAGAAAACAATTGGGCAGCGCTTCAGTACCTAGAAAACTCAACTTGTAAGTTATCTACATATTTATAAGCAGCCGTCTATAAATATTACCGCAGATAATAGGTCAAAATAGCTATCGACAACGTCGGGACTCTGCTCCATATCTAAGAGTAAATTAAAAGAAATGTTAATATATAATGCATTGAGATCGAGGTCAAGGTCTACCTTTAGGGTTTGTGATGAATTCTAGAGTACGGACGGTAAGGGATTGGAGTAATTCTCTAAGATTCTGAAAGTATGCATCTTGGCCCCCATATACTGTTATTACAAATTTAGCTGTATCGAGCCAACACGGAAAAGGTGCACTTTGGTAGCTAGCTTGAATAATCATCACAAGATCAAGAAAAGGCAGAGCAAGCACCGGGCTAACTGAGCGAACTCCTGACTCCAAAAAGAGTGAAAGGGCCTAATAAATCAAGATAAAGTTTAAAGACATTACACATGAATGGATAATACTACACACCTTCATGACTTTCTCATCGCCATTCCAGATCCCTGCAATCTCCCTTGTTAACTTTCTCATAGCATCATTGATTTGAGAAAGGCCTTCAATATCTGAGAATGCTGCTATTGACTTTCCACTAGCAAATGAATCGTAGAAAGCAAGTCTTGCCGACATAGACTGATAGTCATCATTAGGAGACTGGATACCTTTGCAGCATGCAGAAAGATATTGTATTTGGGTCAATATCATCAACCGTGCCCTTTCCTGGTCCGTTTTTGCTATCTCCAATGCTTCGGCGGCACTTTGTAAGATATTTCCAGTCAGTGTCTAAATAAACACATGAGATGTACTGAAGCAGAATACCCTAAAGTAAATTACCAGTATTGGTGTAATAGCTATTTCCATAGGCAGTACTTGGATAACATTTGCAATAGATTCTACCACTTTTTGCATCACATTTGGCTTTTATCAACATGTCAGTATCAAACCTCGATATTACCTATACAAATATGTACTGACCACTTGCCTCAATTTGAGAATGTGACATAGCATTATATATGTTCATAAGGCTATCCAGGTCATCAACTAAAGAGTTCCGACATGCGTCACATATATCAGAAAAGGCAGAAGCAGCAGATGGGGCCAATTTAGGAATACTAAGACAAGGGACAAGATAATTCATAACAGGAGCCAGAAATTGAGGATGCTTTTTTAGCCATTCAGCAAGAGAACCTAGCATCAAGACAAACATAAGTCAAACAGCTGAAAACTTCACTTTCATTTTTTTTTTACCCATAAGCAGGATTGTTGTGTTTTGTAAACGGATACTGCCATTTCTTGGAAATCTGCCAAAGACTTCAGGCCCAAAAAATCTATGGATATGTTCGTCTTCTCCTGGTGATATTTCTTCAGAAATACTCTTTAAACAGAACAGAGTAGCTTCAAGATCCTAGAGATTGATACTTCGTTAACATTGAAAAGATATTTTCTCTAAGAATAAAATATTTTAACTTACCTGACTAGCGAGAGGAATCGAGTCCCAATGGTTTATTACTGCAATAGCATGTTCCAAAAGAATAGCAAGCATTTCTCCTCGTAAAATGTAGTAAGGATTGATCATTGTATCACCCAGATCTCGTCGACAGATTCTGAACTTGTCTTTGAGGTCTATAAGTTTTATTTTTAGTCAAGTCAGAATAAACGCAAAGTGTGCTTGTATAAAGGCTCCATTTTTTTTTACCTTGTGCCCAGGAAGCCCAAACAGAGTCTTCTGGAAATGCTGCCTTTTGTTGAAGTATAGTAACAAGTTGACGATAGATAATAACAGCAGCTTCACCACACTGGCGTGTCCATATCCTTTGCTCCTCACTTGGCATTGTTTTGTCAAGCGATGCGTCATCATCACCATCAAGTGAAGGAGCATAGGAGTCATCTCGAATAGGCGCAATACCATTATCAAACAGTACTTCTTGAAGAACGTACCAAAAGTTAAGTGGAATTTCGCTGACTTCTTGATCGGCCGGAAAGTGCCCATGGAAAGCGGTCAGTTGCATAATCATGTCCATCAACAGAAGAACATCATGTCTGGGGAGTTGAACAGATATAAATTCTGCGAATGTTTCTCCAAAAGCAGTAAAAAGCTTCGCTAACGATTTACCCATTTCCTCATCTTCTTCTATAAATCGAGTTAATAAAACTAATTCGGGTCGATTTAATTAATACACATGCCTGAAATACAAGTTGTAAATTGGTTTTTCATTTCTTCGCTTGTAAAGCATTTCAGCAAGTCATCTCTAAGAGTTACATATCTAGCCCATGAAGGTTGTTGCATAGCTTCTAACAATACTTCGGTCGCAGGCTCAAACGTATCTTCTTTTGTAAGCAATCGCATCGTCTGCTGTATGATTGGATAAGAAGCCCTACCATATAGTATTACATTAGATATTATTATCTGACTATGCATCCACGCATATTTTTCTGTTACCTACTCAAATTCTATGCCGTATTGAATCCAGCTTTGAAAGCACCGAAGAGCTTTTTGCTGAGCAGTGCCGTCTGCATAAGATGTCGTAAATAATACAGATGAAAGTACAGAAAGGACAAGAGGAACAGCATCATTAAGCTCCTGTATAAGTTGTAATCTTGTAATTTCCAACAATAATTAATAACTCCGAGACAAGCTTTATTACTTTGTCGTAAGTACTTACTTTCGGTTTCCTGCAAGTTCTGTGTTTGATATCTCTTCTGGAACAAGTGTAAGAAACTCGAGTATTGCAGCGTCAATATTCTGTGTTGCAACCCCATAGACAGCACCACCTCTTCTTAGTGCATCCACAGACTCGGCTACAAAACTGTGCCAATGGTTGGGTACAGCATGAAGAGCAAAAGAGATCAACTAGAAATTGGCCAAAATAATTTGCATTTTCATTTAACAATTATCCTCACGTTAATTTGCTTGCTTATTTTGCCAAACTTACTGCCAAACATAGCTTTGTTGTGACAAGCATTGGCCCAGCACACAAGCGTACAATCCACACAAGTATCTCGTCTCGAAGCCAGTCAATTCGATCTTCTGGGAGTGTGTCCCTTGTTAAGGTTTAATCGGTAATTATGAATACTCTAATATATATTGCTTTGCCTTGGCTTCTTATCAACTCACCAATCGCGGGATATCTTCACCTGGAACGTGTGGGCACCAAAAAAGCGGCACTGGTCGGACTGCGGAGCGAAGCATAACGTTTAGTGTTTGTTACAAAAGAAAATAAGGCAATGCATACCTGTATTGAGAGTAGTTCAGGGGCAATTCCCCAAGCCTGAGGAAGACGTTGTATGGCTTGGAGTTGCTCTTGAACATCCTTGGCAGTACGTGGGTCTGTAGAGTTATAAAGCCCTTCAATGAGCTAAATTGTGGCGTCAGTCATGCGTTCATTTTCTCAAACCCCAAGAAAGCCGTATTATGGCCAACCTTTTGGACATGACCAACAGACAGTTGCTCCATGGACAATGACTACGGAACTGGGGATAATCAGTGACCGCAATAGGTTGTCTGGCTGGAGTTGGTATTCTATGAAGGCTCCAATGTAGTGGCTTAGAAATTGACGTAGCCGAACTTCTTCAACCTGAACATTCACAGCATGTCATTTCCCTCTTCAACACCACATTCAACATTTTTTTTCAAATACTCTAGATTATTAGTTTTTTTTTAAAAAGAAAGTTTAATGTGTGTCTCAGACCCTTATAATGCAGACTCTGCTTCCGTACCGATCATACTCGATAGAAAATACGAGGATAATCTCTGTGTAGAAATGCTGAATTTATTTGAAGTAAATTGACTTGAAACCTCAGGGCACATTTGGTAGTGGCTGACTTTTGTGGTCTTTGTATATAGGAGCTTCTTCCTACCAGAGAGAGCCACAACCGACGTATGGCTCTTGTTCGCAAGATAGAACGCCTTTTGAATGCAGAGTGGCTTTCACAGAATATCACAGTTCACTTGTTCGGGTAGATCTGTCATGGCATCTGACTGTGCCTCCCATACTAAATAAGCAAACCTAATCAGATCATCCGTCAATGATCTCGGTACAAGCCATTCTGATGTCGATCTTTGCATTACTACCCAGTGGAGTGGCCTTCGCAACATACGAACATTGGCCAAATTATTTCGAAAATGTAAGCTTTTTCTCTTATGAATTATTCTATCTATGGAAGGCAAGCTATGATTTTACTTATTGCAACAAGGTGGCATGCAGCAGGTTGCCTGTGTCCCAAATGCAAAGGTCCCAATTGTGCGTCTTTTTGATCCCGAATCGTAAGTCAGTCTCCATATATTCACCAACTCACTTAATACTTCCTCAGTCGCCTTGCATGTGATATCAATGTCAACAATACATTGGCTATCCAGAACACAAAGATGATCAAAACATATGTAGCAATAGATACTCGTGTCAGACCCTTTACAATGATTATCAAAAACTGGGCAAAGCAACGACTTCTTAATGATGCTGGTACGTGCGTTCTTGTGGGTACTTCCCAGAACAAAAAAAAACATTCTATTATATTCTTAATCGTATACATGTGTGTGTGTGTATTTAATATAATTATTGTAGCGCATGGTGGAACCCTCTCGACGTATACATGGACTTGTATTGTAATTAACTTTTTGCAAATGCGGCAACCACCAATTCTTCCTGTGCTTCATCAGCTAAAAAAAGATTCGAGTTCAGAGCTTTTTTTCAGTAATATTGAAAAGCTACATGGATACGGAGAAGCAAACCATGAAAGTCTAGGTGGTCTTCTATTTGCCTTTTTCCGGCGATATGCACTTGAATTTGATTATGACACCCAGGTTGTATCTGCAAGACATGGGACTTATTTGACAAAAGCAGAAAAAGGCTGGGATACTGGGCGTAATGTAACAAGCTTCTGCGTCGAAGAACCGTTTAATGTGACAAGAAATCTCGGAAATTCAGCCGACATAGAATCGGTACATGGCCTCCGTCTTGAATTCAAACGTGCTCTTGATTTAATGTTATCTGGTGCCTCATTGAGTACAATATGTGCACCTTACAAGCGGCTGACCTTTGCTGCAATACCTGACATCCAAGAAACATTAACTGAGAACTTGTCTGATAACATACCAACAGAGGCAGCAACCCCACCACTCTCGAATCCTGTTAAGAAGAAAGAGTCGAAAAACACCAATATGCTTAATACGAACACCACCCGATCTCGTTGTATAGAGAATTGCTTTGATTGTCGCCAACAGAATATAACTGACGATGTCTCCGGTCACCCAATAGTAATTTCTCCATGCGAGATAACTCAGAGACCAGATACCTTTGAAATCAATCATCATTTATCCCAACTCTCGTTAGCACCTTTCGATCCTATGTATACACCTGATCCTTCTTACAGCCCTCCGTATGCGCCAAGTACATTGCATAAACCGCGACACGCACACCAGTTCAACTGTAACTGTAATTCAAGGAGATCACCTCCAGCCATGCGATCATCCTACGATTACCAGGCAAAAGAATGGTCTGTAGAATGTATTTTGGCAAGATATAGCCAAGCACTTCCCACACACCCTCAAGACATGTGCCGACCCAGTGATTCTGAAGGTAGTAGTGACAGCCTGTCAGTAAATCGTGTCCACAAACGTAAAGAGAACCTACCCCGAGACACAAAGGCTGGTGGTTATCAAAGACATCTTTCAGCTCATCCACCCAATGGATTCAACGAATGGCCATCTATAATTTTTTCTGAACAATCACCTCTTTCAGAATCCAAAAACAATATAGACCACCGACCACGACGATGGTCAACTCAAAAAAGAAGAACTTCTCACGCTATTGAAAGAGAGCATAGTTCGGCCAAGTCCTCCATACATTCCGAACTTTCTGATAACCCCAAAGGTACTTCAAAGCTTGAAAGAGTTACAAGCAGATCTGTGGAACAATCTACAGGAGAAATACTCTCCAATAATGCTGCATCGAACAAAACCTATGTGCGGCGCGGTAGACACCATTAGTTTTTTTTTTCTTACTTTGGGTGCCCTCTAAATAAATCGGAAACCGGAGACGTTGGTGTACTCGTAAAAAAAAAACATTGAAAAAAAGAGAAAGATAATTGTGCGTAATCATTTGAGGCGTACATTTTTGTAAAGAATGGATTACCAACATGTGTGTTTTTCAGTCATATTATATCATATACAAAAGGCCTTACCCCTGGATTCTACGCTAAAGGAGCTTGAGGATGAACATCAACTGTCGTTAGATCATGCTTATGATTGTAATAGCTGATAATAAGTAAATATTTCGCCTATAACTACCATATTTCTTTATTATTGAGTGAACTATCAAACTATCGTAAAAATGAAGAAAACAACCTAAAAAGACATACAGGCTTTAAAAAGAATAGCTTATTAAAAGAGAAAGAAATTCGTGAATAGCATTAAATTCTACACTGGTCTACAAACAAATTTAAGGTTGTATTTGACGTTGGTTTTGTTTATTTATTTTTACAGTAATATATTTCCTTTATTGAACGAAATACAAACGTTCTATTATCAAGAGTGCATTTTCTTTCTCTCTTGAGCACTCATTAAATTAAGGCCACAGACATGATGTTCTTGTGGATAAACCTTTGCTTCTGAAATGTCTTGATCTTTTCCAAATAAAACATCTTGTCCAAAATCGCAACGAAGCTCTGATTTCCCTGCACGGATATTGCAGATCGTACTTGCGCGACAATCTTCGCCACACTCTGGTACCTCTGGTGCAGACTTCGTTCTATAGTTCCAGTATTGATCAAATGTGTTTGCGTCGGACTCCATTGCCACAGTGACATTATGCCACCACGCAGGGGAAAGAGGTTCTGAAATAGAATTTAGTGGTGCGATGGCAGAGTTGTATGCTTCTCTTGCAGAATATTCAATATGCCAATTCTATTTATCTTGTTTAGTATTTCTTGTAGATAATTATTAGTAGCACCAAACTTACTGGCCCATCCTCCCATGTGTCAGCTTTATCAAGGTCAGCAACATATGTAATTGAATCAACAACCTCAAACGTTTCTGAATCAATTGTGTATATTCTTTATATTTATACCATGTTAATAAAATTTATTGGGAAAGGGAAAAAATGGGTACTAGTTACCTGAATCCAGGGTTAACATCCTCGTACGGTGTGATTGAAGGTGCTACATATGCAACTGAAATTGCCTCACTAGCATTCTTTTGACTGTTTTTGTAAAATAATTGCAGCTCATCCCTAAGTGATAAAAGAAAGGCGTTGATTCGTATATTTAAATATTTACTCAAGCTGAATCGGTCAACTTTCAATTACTTACATGTGCGTATGCCCAAAGAACTGGCCAGCAATTACATGTGGTGCATATCTTTCAATAATTTGATGGTAATAGTTGGAGTAATCATGGAAGCATGTTATATCTCCTGGGGCAACATGTCCAATAATCCATACACGCTCATTCTGATCTTCAGAATCTTGCAATTGGTCGACCAGCCAAGCCAAAACTCCATTTGGATCCTACATTACAAGCAAATGTTAGTTTTCTAGAAGCTGTATATTTTCCTATAGGCTATGTTACTAACCCTTTCAATGGGATGCTCATAGAGCCACCAATTAAGAGTATAGCAAAAGTTTGTATTCAAACTGATCAATTTCAATCCATTTATCGGCCTAACAGCATAATTTGCACTATTATTCTCCACCTCTGTGTTTGTGCCATAAGACAGCCAGCCACGCCAGCTTTTTGATAAACTTTTGTAAAGCCATTGGAGATCTAGATATTTCTTTCCAGGCTCTTTTGGAAGGCTAGATGACTTTAAAGGAAATATGTTTGTAGGTGCTGCCTCATGGTTTCCAACAGCTGGGTAAAGTACAGTATTAATATGAAATGGAGAGTCGAAATGGTTATGAAGCATTGTGAACGAGGCATCTTGGATAAGTCTTGTCTTAAGAATTGGTAAAGTTGACCAAACTTCGTGAGGTGGTACATCACCAGTCAATATACCAAATTCGATATTTGGTGCAATGGTTGGGATAAAATCTAACATTGACTCAATCAATGCATAAGGGGCATCACAATTGTAGGCACCTTAAACGATCGTTAATATATAATCCACTTTGTCTTTAAATGTCCAATAAGAATAATAATGAAAATAGAAACAATTTTGTTACCCCATTTTGAAGCTGGTACTGTAATGTTGTTGTAATCTGTTGAAGAAGACCTACAGCAAATTGGCTTATCGCATGCTACTTCTGACCCAGCCTATAAGTCTGTAAGCAAAGTTTTCAAGTAACCAATAGATTTTGACTTACTTCATACTCCGGGTCAATGTGCCAATCGCTAAGTTGTAAGACAGTAAAGGTCTTGCCAACCGATGGCTTCTGAAATGACATTTTCGGTTTTGGTTTCGGGAATATGACGTTGTAAGGTTCAACAGCTGAGATATCCCATGAGTTCACTTTGGCGTTCGAGAAATCTGTGTGACCTTACCTGGGTATGGGCATGAATTTACCACTGCGGCACACATTAAACGACCATCTCGACCAGAAATGTCCATAGTCTAATAAATATCAAAGGATTAGCTAAAGAGCTACTCATATTATATTTTTAATATTACCTTTAGCACCTGTCGTAGAATTGGGGCTTGTTCTTCGATTGCACCTTTGCACTAGAGATTAAAGCGAAAAAGAAAATTAAAAAGAAGAAAAGGTATAGATAATGAATTTCCTATCGACTTACAACGTCTGGATGAACTTTTTTTGTCCGAACGCAGGCATTTATAAGACTTGATACCATTAACTTTTCGGAAACAAAAGAAAGATTCTTGAGCATTTGTAAAAGTGAAATGCATGCATTGCAGGAAGAGGCCGAGTCGGCATTAATCCATTCGTCTGTTGCATGATCTAGCTGTTGTTGTACTGTATTTGGCGTATTGAAAGGAGTTTGGTATAGAGGATTGGCATGAGCAAGAATTAAGGATGCCAATGAGGCAAGCAATATATAATTTCGGCGCATGATCAAAACTAAAAACCAATCTCCTGAACCGATCGTCTTTTTATCTATGCTGAATCATAACTGAGAGGTGACGTAGACTTCTTTGTACTTTTTTGTAGACACTGGATTGTTTCTCAGCGTTCTTCTTATCAGATTATGCCAAAACGTCTTTAATTATCCCGTTGCTTGTTTTGGTCACATGCCACAAGGCACAACTCAGAAAAAATTAAGGTCTACTATCAATAAATATCATCTTTAAATATATAAATATAAATATTGAAAATGCTTTAATGGTTTGATTATAGATAGTTATTATTAAGTTCTGCGGATATAACGAGAGCACTTATCCACGCCATCGAGTTCTTCAATCATTTCGATAACTAGTGGGTGGGAGAATCCGTAATATTCGGGACCAGAAATTGCATTTGTAGAATCTTTTTGACGTATCAGATTAGCTTGTTTGATCACCAGAGACCATGCTCCAGTGGGTGTTTGACCGGATATTTCATGAGAAGGGGCATCAGCAGCACGAATGGTGAACTACATTCAAGTGTTAATAATATCTTTCTATTGTATAAACAAATCATACCAAAGGTGCATTATCCTGCTCTTTAACGGTACAGGTGTATGTGGTCTGGCTATCAGGGTTTACCATGCTCATGTATGTTCTTATTATTCCCATATACCATTCTTAGTGACATTAATATATTCCGGTTATAGTTTACCCTTTACCTTTCGACACTATATCCAAGCGGGTAAATGTATCTGTCGTTATGAAAGGCAGGTTGATTTATCATAATGGTGCCTAGATTTAAAACCTTCAAAGATGCAAAACTAAAGGGGAAAATAACATTGCCCTCTGAATCCCTTGGTATCTCCTGTCGTTTTCTTGACGCTGAATTTCTCTTTGGCTGCAAAACCATATCATCTGTATAGCCTTTAATGAGAAAACAGTTTGACCAGGGTTTTATAAATCAGTTATCCTTCATACCAAACATCTCCTCATCTTCATTTTCATCCAATTGGTCTTCTTCTTCGTTTTTTTCTGCATCTTCGTCGTCTTCTCCAGCATCATCCTCGTCTCCAATCGGACTGGCATCCATCGCGTCACCCTTACCCTTGGATTTGTGCAAAAGGCGTCTAAACAATACATAAGCATCGTATCTTCAATATATTGACTTTACCTATTCTCTCTCTGGAGGGCTTGAATTCTACGATTAGCTTTATCTATGGTGAGCTGTGCTGATCTTTGTTTCTAAGCATAGAAGATCGTTACTATTATTAATAAAGAGTCAAGGTACATGTCAAACTCTTGAGATTTTAGTAAAATCTAATAATACCGCGATGAATTCGATCATTTTTCTCTTTAAGCTTCTGTATTTTCGCATGCGATCATCGTTCCATTGGTTATCTGATTGTGATTCCGCATCAACGGCTGCATGTTTGGTAATCATAGTACTTGATCTAGAATTGTTGCTTTGACTTATGCGTGTCATTTGTACGGAATGCAACTTGTTTTTGTTACGTATCAAATTCACGGAGTGTAAATTATCCAAGTGTATCCAACGTTCTGAGACATTTTAAAGCTTGGACAAAAGGTTGGACAGTTTTGAATTTCTGATTTTGGTACCAATTTCATAGTGTAAATTCTACTATTTATTCACCAATTCTGAACATACTTTTCGTGAATTTGTGCATAAATACTCACATATAGAATGGTTTCAAAAGTTTAAAAAAGTCGACATCTATTTATTAGACTAGAGTCTGTAAGCTCAAAAATTATATTGAGTATGGAATGGTGAAAAAGTATTAAAATAAAGGTTCATCATGCCGGCTCGGGACGATCTTTACAGCTCATTATGTCCGGGCCGAGTTAGACTTACTCTCAATTACCATAAGCACATCAAACCAGCCCGGGGTTGTTAGCCATAGAGGGTATGGGGTAGTCTAGGACGAGTTTATGACTTGTGTATGTAACATCAAGTCCATAAAGACCGTCGCTTCAATATATAATTAAACTCATACTTGTACAATAATAATAAAGTGTATAGCATAGTCCTTTTAATCCGTATGCTTTTACTTTTAAAGAATATATAATTGGCATACACACTTTATATAAAATTGTGTCAAAGCATAAGATATTTATTCGATAAATTACAATCAACGTATGGGTTTATTTTAAAGTTGAAATATATATCAATATATTTGCCCGTGAAGTTACCAAAGAAGTTTTTTTTTGGCTTTCATTAACTTCCATTGTTTAAGTACTAAATAACTCTATATATCATAGTTTAATAGAAAAAAGTATTTTGGGCATATTGAGTGATTATTTGTGTTGAATGAATACTTCCCACTCGTTCCCCATCATCACCTGGGTGGGCATGTTGTAATTCTATCAAATCAATAATCACTATTCCAACTCAAGTTATCAACGCTATTCCAATATTACGGTTTATCTTAGACAATAATATCTTTCTGGTACGAAATAGGTACATTTAATTTCTTCTCATACTGTTATGTACTTGAAGAACAACATATACTTTTTGAGAAGAATCAGATCTATATTTTGTATGCCAGTTTCAACTGTGTATTCTAAAGAAGCCATATGTATTATGAGAGAATCTACAATATCGGCTGGATTCAATAATAATAATAATAATAATGGAAACCAGGATTAAAAAAAATACCAACTCTGGTGTCTTGTTTTTGTGAATATTTATGCTTTGAGTTAAAAGTTGTATAGTAATTTTTGCATGGTCTGTGATGTTTTAGTAGAGCTGTCAATAGCTCTATATCTGAAAAGACCATTCTTCAGGAATAGATTATATAAAATAAATTATAATTGGTAAGAGAGGTAGCGCTACCCGCTAAATAATGACTATATTTTTTTTCTCTAGTCAGGATAATATAAAGCCAAAGTAGATATTACGGCAGAGATCTTGGACATTTTATAGCTTGGTATCTCATTGGTAAAAAGAAACTCTGACTTTATAACAAGTTTAACCCATTGTTCTCAATCAGACTGAAAAAATATATTTTAATAAAGGAAATTGTAAATACACTTAAATTAAACAATTGTAAGCTGTATTTTTGCGACAGTACAACTTTCTTTAATACAGTTAATCCACATTTGATTAATTTTAGACCTCTTTAAAAAATTGGTCCAATAAATATAAAATTGCTGGGAGGCATTGGTTAGTGATATAAGACTGTTACCTAAAAGAGTAAAAAAAAAGTCTTTTTAATTAAAGTATTCTTAGTTTCTTTGCTATATATATATAAGTTCACTCGAAATACCTTATACTGTTGATTATGTAAGGAGATATGATGCATTCGAGAATATATATATCAATTATCTTTGATTAATCCATATTCGCAGTGCATAATATTTATATCACGTGCTCAAAGATACATACAAAGTTTAAATTTCACGCCGCTTACTTTATTTTTCACGTATAAAAAATGCGATTAATAAATGTTAATCTTGCTTCCACATGAATCATGTATCGCCAAAAATTATTTACTAGTGAGAATGATCTCAGAAAACCTTTTGTTCCAACAAAACGAGTTGATCTCTGCTCCTTTAAAAGTCAAGAAGAGTTGTATAAGCTTATAGAAAAGCAATGCACCGAAGACGGATTACCACTTGTCATTGCTAATGTTGACTGTCATCCCAAATGGAAGGCCGATTTGCTTAGCCTAGATCATCTCAAGAAGTTTCATGGAGATTCTGGTAGGAATCTTAGCCACTGCTATACTTTTTAGCTTTAATCCTCACTATAAAAACAGTTCTTGATTTATATTCTATGCGAACGAGATCAATCGACAATAAGCGTACAATGAAAGAGTATATTGAAGCACTCCAATGGTCGGCTAAGAATTTAGACATCAATTCAAACCAAAAGCCTCACAAAAAGGACTGTATAAAAAGTGTAAGGCGTCAAAGCTCACAACGACTGCAAAAGACGCGACAGGTGCCAGATCCATGTTTACTAGAGCCACTAGTCGACGCATCTATAGACCCTACTCAAAACTCTCTTTCTTCTGTCAAAACATCTACTTCGTCCGCTAATAATACAACAGATAATGGAAATATCGAGACTTTTACGAAAATTACCCTAGAGATTGACCAAATAGACAGCCCTGATCTACCGGAACTCTCCTCTACAATCATCTCTCCTGTCGAAAAAGAAAAAGAAGTAACTGTTAATACTGAAAATCCAAGCAATAACAGTGATATCGTCCAGCATACCGAGCTACAAACCCCCACATATTCGATATCCCATTCTTCTATGGCTACCCCTCCCGCCGATGACATCAAAGATACTAAACATGAATTGATTGATGAGGAAACTTCTAATTTATCAGCAGCAGAAATCAAACGCAAAACTAACACATCATTACTATACGGAAAAGACATATCTTGTCCTACGGAGTATAAGGATGTTCTTGAAACAATTCTTCCAGAATATTTACTTTCACTTGGAAGCTGCGATTTGTTTAACTGTTTACCGGAAGACATGCAGGCAGAAAATCTTATGTGTTATCTTGGAAGCAGTGGTACTGGCACGGCTATTCATAGAGATCTCTGTGGTACTTTTGGTCATAACCTTATGACATATGGTGACGATGGTGCTTACTCAGAATGGCTCATAGTTGAAGATCGTTTTCGAGATCAACTCACCAAAGTCCTGCATTCTCCGGACAGCAAACGCTCAAAAGACAATGATGATCACTCATATAACATGACTGACCAAACCAGTTCATTCGTTGAAAGCGATCAAGCATGGGTGAACTTGAAAACACTTAGAAATGCTAATATCAAGACTCATGTCATTTTGCAAAAACCTGGGGATCTAGTACTTATCCCTAGTCTTTGCTACCACCAAGTACGTAATCATGGAATTTCTATGAAGGTCGCGTGGAACAGAGTTACACCACAAACTTTGGAGCTTGCTTTGAAATTTCAACTTCCAATTTATCAAACGTAGGTTGACTTTTATATCCGTTCAAAACGTGATGTGTATTGTATATATAACAGATCATTATTCTGCTCAGAATTGCGCGCCCAGAAACCTACCGGTGTAAATCAATCATTCACTTGACTCTCGAAAGGTGGTTGGATATAATCAAGCCATTTTCACAGAAAAGAGGGGGATCAGATGTTCAAGACTTCTTCTCTATTCCACTATTCGAAAGGGGTATTGATGTATTTGTCATGGAATGTAGAATCATGTTGCATTTATATAGCGAGATGATTCGACCTGAGATTATTGAACCCATTCCTTCTGAGGATATTCGAGAATCAATCTGCAAACCTACAAAAGACGTCAAGCCACACACTCTGAAATGTGATTTCTGTCACTGCGATATTTTCTTACGATTCTATCACTGCGATAACTGTCTGGACAAGGAAGGAAAATGTGAAGGATATGATATATGCCTTGAGTGCTACTCACAAGGCAGGACTTGTCAACATATGGATGAATTAGTTATGCAGCGAACAAGTCTTAGTCTCGAAAACTGCATTACTCTTTATAATTCATTTATTAAGACAATTAATAGTATCCTGAAAGATACGAGTCTTACACCTCTATTTTATAGTAATCTTGAGCAGAAGATGTACGTATTGTTTTTAAAAAAAAACAAATGTCTTTACTAATAAGTACTTTACACGTCAACAAAACTTTTGTAGTTTTTACAGGGAAAACAACCAATACTCTCTGGCAACCACATGTCTCCGTATACAAAACTATAGAAAGAAGAAAGGAGTGGGTTTCTATAACAACGAATGAGTTATATTGTTGTGATTGGTTTTGAGCTGACTTTTTTTTTTGTTTAATAGATATTGGCGAATCATTTTGTGTGTGGACACTGTAGTTCTGTTACGACTACGTCCGAATTGTATGGCTCAAAGGGAATTGAGCTTCGCGGGCTATTTGGTAGGGAGCCATGCTATAAGCTCGAGTATAAACAAAATGGAGAAAATATATACACCTGTGATGAGTGTGTTAAACACTGCCATGGATGTCGCCCCGTCTCTGTTAAACCAAAAAAAGCTCAAGAAATGGTATACTATATTCCGCCTTTTTATGATCCACGAAATTGGGGTGGTGTAACTGATAAAGGAGTATACCAAGTAAGTTATTGTTTATACCTGAAATATTGAATGTTAATCCAAAACAACACAAATAACAACAACATAGTCATGTTATTGGCCGTCCAGAGAAATAAGTGTATGTTATGTACTTGCTGTTAATGAGAATAATATATTAACTTTTGTAGTACATAGACTATTTCCGAAACAAAAAGAGACGCAACAGAGCAAATTCACAGATGCCTTGATCTTGCTTTGCTAGACGACGAATGTCTTCAAGAAGAATTCAAAGGTCGGATTGTAGGATCGCTCCTAAAAAACATGCGCCCTAAAACTGTAAAACGTATACAAAATGATGATATCGATGAGCTGATCCAAGTTGCTACAAGCAGCGCTTCGTCTTGGGCTACTTTCATACAGACGAATATTAATAAGAGAAAGAACTTTGAAGACGGACCTGATAAATTTACTTCCAACAAAAAGCAAAAATTTTGGGATCAAGCTGACGAGTTGTTTGATATGAAAAAAGTAACTATACATATACCAATCTATTCAGTTCACAGACAAAAGAAAATAGCCAAAAAACAAGTCTAATAAGAACAATTTGTATGGTGTATTTAAAAAAGTATACATATAATTATATTCAAGTGCACTGCTTAATGAATAAATGAGATTGTCTATTTCAATTCGAGTTTTACTATTTGACACCCAGTACATTTTTGGGTATGGAAATACTGTTAAGATTTAATATTTAATAATAATTGTTGCTCTAAAACATATTAGATCCATCGAGTAAACAGTAAAAATATGGTAATTGTAGCTTAACATAAATTCTTAGCTATTACAAAGGGTACTTTGAATAATTGGCAAGAACAGGCAATAGGTAATACTGTTGGCTGAGTTCACTACGATCCTTTGATCTTCTTTTAGCTGTCTACAATATCTAGAAGCTACAAATATATGTGATGGTAAGGATCATAAACTAGGCGTGTGTGCGAATCTTTTCACTATCTTCGTGCTTTCTGCCAAGTACAGGGAGTTTCACTCTCAAAAAAGCTCGCTTTACCCGTATTTGCATGTATTTACAGAATATTAAATACATCTAACAAAAATATGAGCAACGAATTTCACTTGCGCAGTTTATACATTGGTAAGTAACAAAATCTGATAACTTATATATCTAAACAGCTATATACAAGTTGAGAGATACACTATATTTAAGCATTATAGAGGAAAAGATTTGAGCTATTTATCTGCTTAGATGTTTGCACTTGTACTTTTAGTCTCTGGCGTAAAATCCGAGTAAGCTCAATTATAAAGCTTATTAGACCCTTTCAAAGCTGTTTCTTTGCTATGTTGAGGATACCCACGAGTAGTTCTAAGTTTGATAAATATATTCCAGGCTTTAGTTGACTTTAAACTTTTATAGGGTCAATTATAGACCTGTTTATTTATTTTTTGTAATTATTGAGTAAGAGTAAGAGTAAGAAAAACAGAATTAAATACCAAGACTTATCAGTGTCCAATATAGAAAGAAAAAATATACACACAAACCAGAAAAATTCGTGAGTAAAGCAAGAAGTAACGGGGTTTAAACGTAGGGCCTGCTACGTAAATTCATTGGAAATAACCAGCATCCGAGCTATCTATCTTTAAATTTGAAGCTCTGAGCAGCCAATGGAATAGCATGCTTGTTGCTCCTCTTCTGTAAATGAACTTTGGTATAAAAGGCCAAGCAAATATAGAGAAAATCATCACAGATATCTTAACAAAAACATAATGTCCGATCTTATTTCGCAACTTCTTGAGAATCATTCTTTGCAGAGGAATGCTACAATAATACCGCACAGAATTAATAGCCGGACCTCAACTCAAACCTCACCTCACCATTCAAAGAAACTTCCCACGTATCCATCGTATTTGAAGAATACTGTGTATGCTGCGCTAGTAAAAGAACAATACGAGCACCAGAAAATCAAACGCGATAGGACAAAGACTTCTGGTATAATCTCTACATTCCGATTTAAGGAATCCGATGACAATCCGCTCGATGACATGTGTCTAGCTCTACCGTCATCATGGAATCAATTAGATAAATCTTTTAATATTCAGATACGCAAGAACTCGCTGGACCTTTTTTACACCGGTAAGTGACTATCATAATGAAAATGATTTATTTGTAGGTATTTAAGATTAAAAGAAACATGTACTACAGGACCAGGAGAGAATGATAGGGACGCTGCTAGTGTGCGCTCTAACTACGCAATACCGCCTCAATGTGGAGTATATTACTACGAGGCGAAGATTCTTTCGAAGGGTGAAAATGGGTTTATTGGCATTGGATTCTCTAGCTCGGGGAATGATCTTGATCGTTTACCAGGTAGACTTAATACTCTACATATTTCTCTCTTAAAAAAATACTATTCAATATATATATATATACAGAAACTAAAGAACTGATTATTATTATTCTATATTGAACATAAATAGGCTGGGATGAAAATTCATGGGGATATCATGGAGATGATGGGTTTTGTTTTTCTGGCTCTGGGAGTGGTGTAGCATATGGACCCTACTTTACAACTGGAGATGTGATTGGTTGCTGTATGGACTTTTCGAATAATACAATATTCTACACCAAAAACGGTACGCTCCTGAATACTGCCTTTAAAGATGTTAAGCCAGCATTCAAATTATATCCAAATATCGGTCTACGAACACCTGGGGAACATGTCTTGACAAACTTTGGTGAAGAACCGTTTGTGTTTGATATTGACAGATATGTTGCGGTATGCTTGTGGAGCTTTATAAACAATATGTTTTACTGTTATTAAACAAATGGTACTGTTTGGGTTAAATAGGATCAAAAACTAAAAATCTGGAAAGAGGTTACAAGTGAGCCGCACAGAATGCAGGCCCCTAATATTACTTCACCAAAATACAAGATAATTGCAGATCCTAATTCAAATGAGACGCAAGATAATCAAAATGGCCATAAGCAAATCATGGAGCAATTGATAATCCCATACCTTATGCATCAAGGATATACTCAGACTGCTAAGTCAGTTATCAAATCTACTGAAGATGTCATGAGAACAAGCTCAGCCTCCATACATGCTCTACCATACGATATAAGCAATGATGGAGAAGTGACTTCTTTGTACAGCGATGAAATCAAGAAGATGGAAGAACGTCATGGTAAGAGTTGTAATGATCAAATAAACAAAAAGATGAAAACTTTACTTACGTTTAACAACAGTAATCAAGGCCGCTGTTTTAGATGGAAATATCGACCTAGCTATAAGAATAATTCAACAGTTGTTTCCCAATATGATCAAAGATGAAAGCCAATCATCAATTGTATTTGAGTTAAAGTGCCAAAAGTTTATTGAGATGATGAAGTCGTACAGTGAGCAAATAAATAGGTATATTGACTACAGTATTATATTCTGTTCCAGTGTCATAATACAATAATGATGTTTTAGAGCCAATCAGACAGAGGAGCCTTTATCACATCTCCTGGTATCTCACAAAAATGAAGACAGCCATATGGACGAAATTGATTCCAAAGCATCACTCCTAAAAGATTATGTGTGTGAAGATATGGAAATAGACGAAGATTTTGAGGATAGAACACATGTGCCTTCGAAAAGAGCCAATAGTGGAATTATTATTGACAAAGCTATTGGTCAAGGTTCAGGTATAGAATCAGGATCTCAAGCTAAATCCTTGTCGAAAATCCCATGTCTTGAAGATTTGATACAGGATATAATGCGTTATGGAGAAAAACTTCAGGATGAATATCGATATACTATGACCTCTGAGCAAAGAGCAAAATTGACTGTAAGTCGCAAGGCCTAAAACACAATTTTCAAAAACATGATATTGATATTATTCTAGAAAATATTTGCATTACTTGCATACAACGACCCTATTGAAAGCCCATTGGCTTATATTATGGATAAATCCAACAGAGATGTACTCGCTTCCAAGCTAAACACCGCCTTGTGTGGTAAGTTATATATATATATATAATGAGTGCTTGAGCTAATAAATAATTTGTTATTCATAGTTTGTCAGCAGCAGCGTGCAACTACTTCTCTTGAGTCTATATATAAGCAGGCCATCTTGACAAACAAAGAGCTTGTATGGAGTGGAAATGCCAAATCCTCATTGATAAATATCAACCAGTATCTAAAATCAGAATATTGACCGGGTTTTGTATAGGATAAAAATCTTCTAGAGCTAGATAACTTCTTCTTATTGCCAAATATCAGACTCTAAAGTTATCGATTCAAATCTTAGAATGCTGAGAGTGTTTGTAAACATGAATGGTAGACTTTTTTTTGAAGGAAAAAAAAAGTACAAATTCTTACCGTGATGTCTTGAATATTTGCTTGATATAGCTTTACTTTATCTTATTTTGATTATGAAAAATAGAAAGTAGAAAACAAAAACTGAGCAACAAAGTAAAAAAAAACTTTACAAAAAACATAATCCAAGATAAAGAGCTATACAGGACACTCCAAGGTCAAGATGCCATCATTAATACTCAGGTTAATCAGACGTTTGTTATCATTTTCTATTTAAAACGATATAAACATCATCAGTAGTTCAGCAGCAATCTTAAGTCCACGATGTCTCTAAAATGAAAGACAGTGTTTCATTTTAAGGTATAATATTTTGAGATAGTAAGCTAGATAGGTATTCTATTACACCCACAGGCATATATATACAGCAAAAAATATATTAGTGGTGTTAGACTGTATGTGTAAAAGTATACAATCAACATGGTACTTTTTGTACTTGGCTCAAAACATTATCCCGTCTTGTATTAAAAACTCTTTACCATATCAAAATTTGGGTTTTATGAGCCGGTTTATTAATAGCTTTCAATTCTTTTGGTGCACTTGGTTCACGCCACAGTTCATTACCATAAAGGTGACCAACAGGATTTTGCGTATAGCTTTGAATTTCGAAAATAATAGTATTGGACTAAGAGCCTTTTAACCGCGTAGAAAGATTCTACGTCCTAGAAAATGATGATAAATTGCCACAAGTGCATATAGATATTAAAGCAACTATTAGAAAAATAAGAATTATAGATCTTTAGGGACCAGATACAGGTTTTCCACTCCAAAAGTTTCATTTTCATTTCCCAAGTTTGAAATGGCAAAATCAAAGTAGCGATTTTACACTCCATTAGTGTGTACAGACGAAAAAGGTCAAAATAAAGTCCAACCGATTCTGACTGGCTTGGCTTCTTCCATTGACAATTGGATCAAGAAGAGTATCATGCTTTTGATACAAGAAGTATACCACATATTGCAATACCTGGAAAAACTCTGTAATAAAATGTTTTCAATTGATGGAAGATATGGTATTATGAACACTTGATTTTATCTAAAATGCACCCGAACTTTATTTTGAGCTTTTTTTTGAACTTTTTTGAGCTTTTTAGTCTGTCCACACAAAATGAAAGATCGCACTCCCACATAAGAAAGCACCGATTTAAAATATTGGATATATAATTCCGAATAAATCATACATCAAATTCATTATGCTCTATACTCTCAAGAAGATGACAAAATACGATGAAATTTTGGCGTTTTATAGGTAAATACATACAGATATATTGTAGAATAAAAAGAAAAAGAAAGTCTAGCATATGGGTAATTACTACGAGCTTTGATCACTGCCGTGCCTCTATCAGGAATACTTGCTTACAAGAGTATGGATAACATTTGGGACTAAAAAATTTCATTCGTGAAAAATACCTATGTGCTTTGAAATATTAGCTGGAGTATTATTGGCTTTATAGAGCCAAAAAGAATGCCTTCACTCTCAAACTCTAAAAATTCACGTTTAGGTGAAAAAACTACTGTCTTTTTTTTACAAGAAAATTGACAACATTGGTGGTTGAGTTTAAGGAAAAGGTACTAGTAGAAGAAATGCAACAAATATTATGAAAATGTGGTTTATCACTAATTTCTTAAGTTGAAATATATATAGTGAATACATATAGCAAATTATATACGAGTATTATTTTTCCTGTTTTTAAAAGGTGCTTAAATGATACGCACTATGTGTGTGCTGATAAAAAAATATAGTTGTGGGATGATAAAAAAAAAGAACCGATCAAATGATACAAGTAGAGCAACAATTCAAACAATCGTGCGTTAAATGTTTATGTAGTCATGTATGTATATAATTATATGCATTACATTATGTCAGTCATTAGAGTTTCACAATATACCCCAAAAAAGCTGTATGTTTTATACTTCTTTACTGACTCAAATCGACTCAAATGATAATATGATACACATAATCCCCCACTCACTCACATGTGTTTGTGTGTTTATTCATGTGTTGAGATACAATATTATATATTTATGAGACTTATAAATGTATATGTTATATCAATTATCTTTTTTGGCGTTCTATATGTAATTTACGGAGTTTTAAAACTAAGAAAAAGGCCAAATTTGTAGCAAATTTAAACCATGAAAAAGTGTAACAATCATTGTGGTAAAACAAAATGTAAACGTTTTATTACGTGCCTTTGTCTTGTAATATAGAAAGCTTTTACTGACATAGGATGTAAGTTTGCAACAATTGTTTTTAATAAAATAAAATTCAAAAATAATATATACAGAATAAGACTCGCATTTGTGACCAAATATTATATCTTTCTACAAAATCAAATAAGGATGTTTAGTGTTATGGTGGTACAGTAAATAAGGTGAAATTGCTTGATGACTGAACCAACAACAAAAAAGAATAAGAAGAAGAAAGAGGGGAAAAAGGAAAAATCACACACCAACACACACTTTATTTAATGTGTAATGTGTAAATATATAATATATACATATATCTTGTTATAATATATGCAAGTATTCAAGTTACAGTGTTATATGCATATATAGCAAAGTGCCAGAGACTATTTAACAATAATGATCCTTCAAAAATTTTGCTATAATTTATAGCAGTTTTGTAATCTATGTTGACTGCCTTGATATTAATATAATGTATAATATTGGATGTGTGCACTTGTATCTAAGGAGTGTATTTTCAAGAGCTCCAATCAACTTTGATTTTTTTATGTATAAAATATCAATGTTGGGATGCCTGGTATTAATGATTAGATGGGGAGATGAAATGGTTATACAAAGTCTAACTCCCGAGTACGTACTAAATGTACATAAGCTATGCGCTTCTATACAAATACATTCTGAGCACATACTGCCCGTATATGCTTACATATGTAATATTAGATATACAGCAAACGATTAACAAGTTCTTGCAATCAAATATATATTTGTGTCGATATTTAGAGATCCAAGTGTTACAATATTCAAGTCTGAGACTTAAGAAGGTGGACTTCTTTAAGAAAGTATGTTATTTGAAATTACTACCAATTCTTTGTCTGTCTGTCTTTCTTTTTTTTCTTACCAAAGTAAATTGAAGCATTAGAGTAGAATTAAATGCACCCATGTCAAATAAACATATATTCAATGTATACCCTGTACTTTTCTTCATTTATAGTTAAACAAGAAAAAGACATATTGTACTGATTTTTGTACAAAAATAATTTTTTACACCCCGATATATACTTGTTCAACTCTCTTTTTTGTTTCCTTCCTTTTTTTTTGTTACATCTCATCACCACTTTGTAACATCATGGACTCGCAATCAGAACAGCGTCGTGGTACGTACAAGGCTCGTAATGCCTTTAAACCCGAAGAGGTTCGCCGCCGCCGAGAGACAGCTCAGGTGGAGATCCGCAAGCAAAAGAAGGAAGAGAACCTGGCCAAACGTCGTAACTTCAACATGGAGAACTTGGAAGACGATTCCGAAGACGAAGCTAATGTCGGCTCTATGGAACACCAGGTAAAACATATTAGCACAATTTAGAAAGCGCATATGTATAAGTATAGGATTTATTATAAGACCTATTATATGTATTCAAATTGTAAAATTATCTTTCAATACTAAGAAATAATACCATTATCATCTTTACTATACAAAGGTGTCTGAGTTGCCGATGATGACGCAGGGTGCTTATTCTTCTAATGAAGATGCCCAGCTTCAAGCAACAGCTCAGTTCAGAAAGCTGCTCTCCAAGGAGAAGAACCCTCCTATCGAACAAGTGATTGCTTGTGGCGTCGTACCTCGATTTGTTGAATTTCTTAGTTCAGCAAACACTCAGTTGCAAGCAAGTGAAATAATATAAAAATGTATTGGATATTTTGGATTATGGATTCTAATATGTTTTTTTGTGAAAATGATATTATTAATATTCATAATAATAGTTTGAGGCTGCATGGGCACTGACAAACATTGCATCTGGCTCGTCTCAGCAGACAACTATCGTTATTGAGGCCGGTGCAGTTTCTCATTTTATCAAATTGTTGAGTAGTCCCGTAGTAGATGTCAAGGAGCAAGCAGTGTGGGCCTTGGGTAACATTGCTGGTGATAATCCTACGTGTCGTGATTTTGTCCTCAAAAGTGGTGCACTTGCACCTCTTTTGAACATTTTTGAAAATACCGCAAAGCTGTCCATGATCCGTAATGCTACCTGGACACTATCCAACTTTTGCCGTGGCAAGAACCCTCAACCAGATTGGCGTTTGGTATGTGTTATGCGTGTGGAGGCAATCCATATATATAGATATCGAAAATAAAAAACAAAATAAAACAAAACAAAAGGAAGTGAGAGCGTGTTTTATATTCATTTAACGTCTTTGTATAGATTGCCCCAGCTTTGAATATCTTGGCTCGCTTGACAATGTCAGATGATGAAGAGGTTCTTGTGGACACTTGCTGGGCAATTTCTTATCTTTCGGATGGTACAAATGACAGGATTGATGCAGTAGTAAATTCGGGTGTGTGTGGTAGACTGGTGGAGCTTCTGAAACACCCTTCGCCTGCGGTCCAGACACCTGCTCTTCGATCGGTGGGTAACATCGTGACCGGTGATGATAGTCAGACCCAGGTGGTGATCAACTGTGGAGCACTAGAAGCACTGCTGTATATGATGGCAAGTCCTAAAGAAGGGATCCGTAAAGAGGCCTGTTGGGCTGTATCCAACATTACTGCCGGAAATCACAATCAAATCCAAGCTGTCATTGATGCAGGACTGGTGGCACCTTTGTTGCACATTATGACCACAGGAGAGTTCAAGACAAAGAAAGAAGCTTGTTGGGCAATTTGCAATGCAACTTCAGGTGGACTTAACCATCCTGAACAAATCAAGCGCTTGGTACAGGAAGGAGCCATCAAGCCTCTGTGTGATATTCTGAATGCAAAGGACAACAAAATTACTCAGGTTGCTTTGGATGGCCTGGATAACATCTTGCGGTCTGGAGAGATTGAGAAGGCTAACATGGCAGATGGAATAAACCCCTATGCACTTCTTGTTGAGGAGGCTGGAGGCATAGAGATAATCCATGATCTCCAAGCCCATGAGAACCAAGAGATTTACAAAAAGACCTACAATATCATCGACAAATATTTCTCGGCGGGAGATGATGAACAGGACTCAGACATGGTCCCAGATGCGGGACAGTTCACTTTCCAGCCGTTGGCGATGGCTCCCCAGGGCGGCTTTGACTTTGGGCCTCGCTAATAAAATTTTAGAGGACCGCAACCGATGGTGTTTTTTGTGTTTGGTGCGACCCAGTTCATTAAATTTTTTTGTTTCCCAGTAACAAACCCATGCCTGTTCTTTTCTTTCTACAATGTCTTTGTTGCTGACTACGACGTGCGACTATGCGCTGTTGGTGGCAATTCAGCAAGGTGCCTATAAAAAACAATAAAACATTCTTCAAACAACTCATTCCTAACAGGTCGCCACTTTCTGCCCCGTAACGACGACGACGTTTGCATCGAAAGTAAACTTGAGCTGCGTCTACCCGAAGCAGTCGACGACCTCATTCTACCAACCACCATCATCAGTACCAGACCTGCCACCATTGACCCCGATGGCCAAGTTATCTTCCGTACCACCCTCGCTTATCTAGTCTCAACTAAACTACTCAGTCGACTTCGTACCTACAACGCTCATGTCCTCCTAACCATATCAACACTCAGTGCAGACTGCACTCGCACCCCTCTAGGCGTTGTACGCCTCCAACTTTCATCAGCGAAAATGGTAGTCCAGCGCCACGGCCAGCGACAGCTTCATGAAGTCAATCGTTTTGTCGTAGATAAAGGTGCCTGGCAACCATTACCGAGTCGCGAAGAGCAAGTAAAAGCAGGGCTCTTTATAGTAGCTATGCCAGACCACTATCGTTCCACTAGTAAAGCTACGTCTTCAATGATGGCTTCCGAGTCGATGATGGGTGGTCTGTCTGGGTCTGGGCTCGAGTTGCGTTCTCTTCATATAGATCCATTTTTATTGCCAAGTGAACCACTCTTGTCTGATAGTACAAGCACCCTGGCCACAACATCTGTACGCAACACACTTCCTTCACCACCCTTCTCATCTTCTGCCGCCACTAGTCTCGTGGCAAGTCCAGCGCTGTCTTTTCTCAAGACAACTGCATTTTCGCGCGAGAACAGCCGTCAGCCTATCAAAAAGAAGACACTCACAAAAGCACTTGAAAAGAAAACATTAGACATGCAGCTTTCCGATCGACGGAGGCGGGCTAAGAGCACAGACCAACCACGGCCCGAGCTGCAGGAACCTCCACCCCTCAAGGACCGTCTCCGTCGAGCGCAGTCCCAGCTTGACCTCAACCCCAACAGTGAGACTACGCCTAGGAGCTCAGGCGCCACAGATACAGCCACTTCTAGCGCCACAGACACTGACAATTCTATCACCACCAGAGATGACACTAATGCTAACACTAACGCTAACGCTAACGCCAATGCTGCTATTGATCAACTTTCATCTGCCCTCCGTCACATTCAACTCCTTCCTCCTATGCCAAAGCCACCTTCAAAGCCACTCACTCCAAAGCTACAATCCAAGTCTCTTCCTAGAGCACACTCAAGAATACAGTTAAAGACGCACCAGTCTTCTTCTTCACGTCAATTTTCATTCTCACCAACACCACTTTCATTACCACCACTTTCATTAAAACTGTCGTTATCTTCTTTACCATCAAAGCCTACACCCATCGCCACAGCCACGACCACGACCACGACCACAACCGCAAACACAATCACAAAAAGCACAAAAACTGCCAAAACCCTCAAATCCAACAAATCCACCAAGACCAACAGAAACAGGACCACAACGCCAGAGACACCAGAGACGCCAGAAACATCGGATAAATCTAATAGCAGTCTACCACAGCCATTGGCCTGTAGCACGACAGGGGAAGATGTGTTGCGGTATCATCAGATTGGAAAAGGAACTTCGTCCTACACATTTTATTTCAACATTGTTCATGCCGATCACCTTCAGCCATTACTGAGATCCTCGTCTCGTAGACGTCGTGGTGTAGATCACACACCATTTTTTACATATGCTTTCTTGTCCAAGACAGTCATGTGCCCGGCATCGTCGTTCTCTAGTACGCACCAGGCCTGGCAGACATGTTTTCATTTACGTGGACACCTATACGACATCCAGGAGTGGTTAGATGACCAGTGCCGCCTTCAGCTGTCGCTGGTGCTGATGGACGCCAATGACGCTACGAATCCTCTCAAAAAAGACACGGTCGGTGTGGCCCAGGTTCCGCTGGCCGGCCTTGCATTCGAGAGCCCGTTTCTGTCGAGTGATCCATACAACCAGCCCAGCCGGCGTACATCAGCCATCGATCGTATCCTGACCGAACGTTCATTTCCGGTGTACGATCTCAATCGGCGACATCTTTCGGTCACTCCGTCAGAAGAGATCGCCAAGGTGACGGTTCGTCTGGGACTTGTGAGTGGCTGGTGGAGTGAGTCCAGCGCAGGTACGACGCGCATTCCCACCGACAGTCTGAAACGGAACAACAGCCACACCGATGCTGATCCCTGGGATAGTATGAAGAACAAAAAGGTCCGACATCTGTCGACCTCTACTGCAACCACGAATACGAACATGACCACGTCCACATCCACAACCGCGACCACGAACACTTTGGATAGCGGCCGACCACATCAGGCGCTTCATTCGATCCTCAATTCTCGCTATCAGCCCAGAAAGAAAGCACCTTATTTACATACTTAACCAAACATTATTATTGTTATTATTATTACTATTATTACTATTATTATCTAAATACATACACATACATTAAATAAATAAATAAATAAATAAATAAATAAATAAATAAATATAAATAAATATATAAATATATACATATAAATGACATGCTTTTATTAATATTATTAATATTATGAACATAAACATTTAACATTAAAAGAAGAGATATATAATAAACATTAAAACTTAAATAAAAAGAAAAAGAAAATAAGGTTTTGTTGGAAATGAAAGTATATGCATTGTTGTTGTTGTTGTTGGTGAATTGGTGAGTTGGTGGTAGTTGGTGATAGTTGGTGATAGTAGTAATGGTAATAATGGAAGTAAAGGAAGTAAAGGAAGTAATTGAAGTAAAGAAAATAACAATAGCAGTGGTAGTAATGGAGATAATGATAGTAGTGATGGAATTTGTATGTGTATATAGTGTGCAGTGTGTATGGTTGTCGCTATTATTATTATTATTATTATTATTATTATTATTATTATTATTATTATTCTCTTTCTCTGCTGTTATTGTTGCTTATTCCTATAAGAAATGAAAAAGAAAAGAAAAAAATGATCATAATTGATGTTGGACTGTAGGAGGTGGGAAAACGATCTTTTCTGCTTCTTCTGCAAGTGCCTTAAGAGATCGGGCGATGCGTGAAAGTGCAGGTAGGTGAGATGGATCGACGTGGTTCCGTACTCGCACCAGTCGTTCCATTGCTCTGTCCCATTCTGGGAGAACGCCTTCATCTCGGATTGGCGGAATGAGAATGGGTGGAAGCACAGGAGCCGTAATTGTCGAAATCGATTGAGATGGAGGGGAGGAAGTACTACTTGATTGTCGATAATCTGATAAAGGATCGAATCGGGGGAATGAACGATCGGATGAAATAGGTGGTAATGACAATGGGCTGTTTTTGTTGATATTGATACTGTTATTGTTATTGCTATTGTTATTGCTATTGCTACTGTTAATGATGCTACTGCTGTTGCTGCTGCTGCTGCTGCTACTACTGCTGCTGTTAATGTTAATGATATTGTTATTGTGGTGGTTGTGATTGTGGTTACTGCTTGAGTTCCAAGGTTGTGGGGAGTATGGACGAAGAAAAGAGCGTTTTTGTTGTTGTGGTGGCGGCGGCGGTGGCGGTGGCGGCGGTTGAAGAGAGTGTTGATGAGGATGTTGTGGGCTTGGGTGCATGATTTGTTGATGGTTGAATAAAAATCGAGTAGAGGGTTCTCTATCTCGAGTGAATTGTGTACGTCTTGGGATGATATAATCTTCGATGGCTGGCACCGGTATTGAGTTTTCCTGAACCGGCAGGCGCTTTGTTCCTCGGTGACGCTTTGCAGTCTTTCTCTCTCTTTTGTCATGAATCGGGGTTATGGGGTGAATATCTTCTAGTTCAGGTGAATTAAGAATTATTGGTGATATACGGTTGCGTTGGTGTGGAGGTTCGTCGTTGCCATCGTTGTCGTTGCCGTCGTTGTCGTCGTCGTCTTCCTCATCGTTATCGTCGCTGCCATGTCCGGCCACCATGATTCTTTTTCTCCGTTTAATCACGCTTCGTTTCATGCTCACTGGCCGATGGACATTGTGTAGTTTGTAATACAATCCGCAAGCATTGCAGATCGTATTACCTGCTTCGTCTCTTCTCCACAGGGGTGTTGTTGTGGTGCGACAATTGGCGCATATCAAGGCTTGTTTATTTGCCTGGTGCTGGTTAAATGCTGGGCATCCAGCACAAGAAGACGATCCTCCGGTTCCATTGCATTGGCCTCCTCCGGGGCAGGACCCACGCGAAGTACCACCACATTGACCAGCTGTTGCTTCATCGCCTGCTGCTAATGTGTTGGTTGTTACCGGGGGTTGTTTTGGAGCGTGGTTTCGTTTTAGGGTTGGGGGTCGAAGTGTATTTCGAGCCTTTAGGTAAAGACCGCAAGCATTACAGATCGTATCTCCATTGGGTGCTCTTCTCCACAACGGGGTTGTTGTTGTATTACAATTTGCGCATACGGTTGCTGATACTTCGTTTGTCAAGACCTCTTTCTTTTTTTGAGGCCGAACGTCCTTGTCAAGATCTAGACCATGGCTCTGAATGCCATTGTCTTTATTGAGGGTGTCGGTCATGGGATGGTGAGTTGCTACAAGGTTTAACAATTGTATTTTTTCATTACATCCACGTGTGTTAAAAAAATATAAAATAAAATAAAATAATAATAAATAAATAAATAAATAAATAAATAAATAAAAAAGACTATAGACAGTGTCGGTAACCGTAAATTAAGTCACAGTCTTTTTTTCTTTTTCTTATTCTTATTCCTTTTTGTCACTGTGTGAAAGGCAAGCTTTTGTAGAAATATATATAAGGAGATGTGTGTATATATGTATGTATGTATGTTTGTATGTTTGTGTATATATATATATATAGTGTGTGCCATTGTGTGAATGTATATCTGTGCTTGTGCGTAGTATGTGTCTGTGTGAAAGAGAGTGTGCGTAGGGTGTATGTGGAGTATGTGTGTCTGTGTGTGTGTGTGTGTGTGTGCAGCTACCTACTAGATATAGTTATATTTCAGAAAAACACTTTCCTAAAATGGCCATTGTCTATTGAATACATAAAAAAAAACCGCTGCTGCTGCTGCTGCTGCTGCTGCTGTTACAATCATTAGGATTTTATTGTCTCTAAATTAAAAAAAGAAATTGTCATGTTACTTTTGGCTTTTGTTCTCTTTTTTTTTATTTTATTTTTTCCCCACATATTTAATATATCTCGTCATAATTTATGGCTAATTTACGATCATTTCATTGTCTGGATATATAATATTTACGATTGTGTCTATCCAATCTTTACTTGAGCCTTCCAGTTTATTGAGCTTTGGCCGATCTACAGTGATGTCACACTATGAAGAATCAATTAAAGAATTAACCTGCATGGTCGGAGTAGGAAGCTTTAAACACTTGTTGGCCGTTGATTTGGTGGGTTGCGAGCGGCGCGTTGGCCATTTTTATATTACCTTATTTTAGTTCCCCTATGTTTTTTTATATTATTAATTAATTATTTATTTATTTATTTATTTTTTTAGTTTTTAAAGAGGTTGAAAGTGTACCTTAATTTCTTCTTCTTCTTAATCTTCTTCAATTTTTTCTTCTTTAAGAGAAAAAACAAGGAGTTAAAAAAAAAAGGCCTCTTTTTTTCTATTCATGGGATTCTTCCGCAACGTATTCGTAGTGTTGCTCTTGGTCAACGTGGCCTTTTTGGGTTACGACCACCTCAATGGAGGCAACATTGCTCTCAACCTTGTCGACAATGCAAAGGGACTCGATGCAAACAAAGTTCAGGTCCACTTGCACACAGCTCTGAATGAAATCAAATCGACTACCCCCCAGAAGATTGCCGGACACGTCAACGAGGCATTTGCCCAACTCAAGGAATTCAACTCGCCCCAAGACGTCCTCACCTACCTTCGTGACAAAACCGCCCCTGTTGCAAAGGCAACCGTGACAAAGGAAGGCTCTGTTTCTGTCCTGACCCAGGACAACTTTGCGTCTGCCATTGATGGATCCAAGCCTGCTCTTGTCGAGTTCTATGCTCCCTGGTGTGGCCACTGCAAGACTCTGGCTCCTATCTACGAACAGCTCGGCGAGGCATTTGCTCACGCCGACGACGAGGTTATTATTGCCAAGGTAGATGCAGACAACCACCGTGATTTGGGAGCCAAGTTTGGTGTCCAGGGATTCCCGACCCTAAAGTGGTTCCCCAAGGGCGTCACTTCTCCCGAAGGTGTTGAGGATTACCGTGGTGCCCGTGATCTTGCTGGCCTGTCTAGCTTTGTACGGGACAAGACCGGCCTTCGCCCCAAGATCAAGTCTACCAAGTCCGAGGTTACTGTCCTGACCACCAAGAACTTCCATTCGGTTGCCTTGGACCCCAAGAAGAACGTGTTGGTTGAGTTTTATGCTTCGTGGTGTGGTCACTGCAAGACTCTGGCTCCTATCTACGAAAAGGTTGCCACTATCTTTGCCAACGAGCCCAACTGCCGAGTCGCAAAGATTGATGCTGATGTTGAGAAGGACATTGGTGCCGAGTTTGACATTTCTGGTTTCCCTACCATCAAGTTCTTCCCAGCAGGCGCTACTGAGCCTATTGCTTATGAAGGTCCCCGCACCGAGGCTGGATTTGTTGATTACCTTAACAAGCATTGTGGAACCCGCCGTACTGTTGGAGGCGGACTTGAGCCCGAGGTAAGCATTTAAATATATATATAGATGTAATTGACAAAAAGGGGAATAATTCAATTGATTGATTGATTGATTGATTGATTACAAATTGTATTAATAATAACATTAACAATATTTATAATAATAGGCTGGTCGTATTGGTGCTATGGATGCTTTGGCTATTGAGTTCACTGGTGCTTCCAAAGATATTCGTGAGCGTGTCTTTAAGGAAGCTGTTGAATTGGCCAAGGAATTGAATGACAAGTAAGTATATAAAAAGAAAATAAGTTCTTTTGGGAGTTTATATATGCATTTATTGATTTAATTAATTAATTAATTAACTATTGTCATTGCGTGCGTGTGTTTGTATTGTAGATATGCTTCATACTACTCCAAGATTATGGCCAAGGCCGTCAAGCAGGGTGATGCCTTTATCCAGACTGAGAAGACTCGTCTTCAAAAGATCACAAAGTCCAACACTATTACTCCTGCTAAGCTTGACGATTTTACCATTCGTCAGAACATCCTTGCTGCCTTTGACAAGCAAGCCAAGCCAGTAAAGGATGAATTGTAATATGTATATTAAATATATATATATAGGATGGGATCTTTCTTTTGTTTTATATATATATATATATATCACTATTATATTATTTTCTTCTCTTTATCTTCATTTTCTTCTCAACACATTTGATACACACTTTACAATTCACACTTCACATATACACTTTACACACACACAAGGTTCACTACCAAAATCTCTTATCTTCCTGTCCCTCCCAACCTTATCCCCTTTTTTTCGTACAATTTTCCTTTTCATACATCACCTTTACCTCCCACAAAAAAAACATATAAAACAATAACCAGAATAAAATGAATTCTATCATTAACCCTTTAAACAACATATGCACATATTCCTGCAATTATACAGTAAGCTATCTAACAATCAGAGGCAATCAATAATTCTCGATATGTTGAACTTACCAACCAAATTGGTCTCAAGCTTTGCAACACGCCAATTCAAACCGGAAAATTTATAAAGGCGAAAGGCTGATAAGAAATAGAAGTAGTACTAGTAATAGTAATAGTAGTAGAGAGCATAAACAATAAAGACATGTATATATAAATTCATTGGTTATGTCTTTTTCAGTTCCTTATGGTCTCTTTACTCAATCTGATTGGAGAACGTTGGTCAAGAACCAATATTGTATTTCATAAAACACACACACACACACAGATTTTAGATGAAAGCGACTTTGGGATTAAAATTCAAAAAAACCAATTCGGAGAGCTTACGGTGATAGACGATATCAAGACAGAGTATATACACAAAGCCTATCTATTTTAACTATAAATTTGGTCTTTAGAAGAAAAGAATCATTACACGTCTCCTCCATCTCATGTTGAAATATGCAATAACATAAAATACGTGAATCAATCGTAGATCAGTGTATGTATATTGAAAAACATTCTGCCTTTTCTTTCATCTTAATTTTCACCTTCATCTTCCTGTTCTTGTTCTTGTTTTTATATTTATTTTTTATATATATATAGATATATAGATATTTAGATATATAATATAGATATCTTTTTCTTTTTGTTTTTTCTCTCTTTTTTTTTTAGGCGTAGTTGAGACGGAAGATGTCGTTGAATACCCAGTAAGAGCCACCCTCGGGGATCAAGTGGAAAGTCTGACTGAACATCTGGGGGTTCTGTTCCTCATCAATCTACATAGATTTTATAAGATAAAGAAGTATTTAATACACAAGATATTTTTAGAGACTTTATCAAATTATAAAACTTTCAATAACCCAACCCATCTAATATTTACTATTACTATTATAATTATAATTATAATTATAATTTTTAGGTTTGTTGGTGGGGGTAGGTTTTAAGGTCATTATATATAATATTGATTTTGATTTCATTACAGGATTAAAAATAATACAATATAAAATATTATAATATCATATAATATAATATAATATAATATATATTTGTGTGTGTTATAAAAGAGGATCAAAATCTTACCAACAACAAACCAGTCACGGAAACCAGGATGGAACCACGCTCGAAATCAGCGGGCTGGGCATCAGTGGTGCTGATACGGTGGCCAACCTTCTGGAAAGGAAGGTTCTGTAATAGAGAAAGCCCAAGGTAATTAAGATATGAAATCTGTCAAGCAAAACACATATCATCTATACTTACCACCAACTTTTCAGTGATGGCAGCGGCACCAACGGTCTGCTGTCCCTCAAAGGTAAGCATGGAGTTCTCTCTCTACGCGTTAAAATAAATAAATAAATATACAAATAAGCACAAGATATTATATTTATGACATTTATATTATTATTGTTTTTTCTTAAAGTAAGAAAAAAGGAGCAAGTATAGAGAAATGGGTTTATTTACGTAGAGAGGGGTGAGCTCCTGTCTGTTACGGTCAAAGGTCTCGTAGTAAAAGTCGACAAATGCCTTGGCAACAGCGTTGAAATCAGCCATGATAAAGATAAGTGAAGAGAAGAGGAAGACAAAGAAGAGTAAAGAAAGAAGGGAAAAAATGGGAAATATTAAAAAAAAAAAAATGTGTGTGTGTGTGTGAGAGAGAGAGGTGGTAGTCCCCCAGTCACAAAAATAAAAAAAAATTGAGAGAGAATTGTGCTATTAAAGGTACAAAGATGTACATTTCTGTCTTTTGTATGAATTTTATTATATTGGTGTGTAACAGTGACTATAGGAGGATTTTTGGTTGCCATATATTGTGGTATTGTAAAAAGGTATATTGCATTTTTTTTTAAAAATAAATACCATTTATTTATTTTATTCTTATTTATTACTTGAGAATTACTACTGCTACTTTTACTATCAGTAGTAGTAATAAGGATTTTATTTTTGTTAATGATTGACTATGTGCCTATGATATATATTCTTAAATAAGGAATAAGAAATAGCAGTAGATTGAACAATTAAACCTCTAAAGAACAAAGAACAAGAATAAAGTCTAACTAGAATAAACTTTCTTGTATTCATATTTACGGCCTATACGCACGCCTCGACGTAAAACGGTCTACAGGTATACTGTGAGGGTAGTACCCTTGTTATTAATGATTGAGTAAAAGAGTGGTTAAGCAAAGAAGAAGCAAGACTATAGATCCTTTTGAAATAGATATAAATGTTGTAAATGTGCCTTGGATAAATAGTAAATATTGTGTTAAAGATAAAGAGGGTTGAAATAAAACCTATTGATAAATATATTCCCAAATGTTGACTAACGATTATCGTTAAAGGCAATACTACTCATCGCTACATCATCAAGAGTCCTTTCTGTATAGATGTATAGCAATTATTGTCATCACAATAATACTCATAAAATATATACATACATGTATAGTATATGAATGTAAAATCAAAGAAGGGGAGAATGTTATTTTTTGGATAAGTTGAGAGAAATAAAGTCAATTTTCTTGTATTTAATTTTCCAACCTTTTTTTTTTAAAAAAAAAACACACACGCACTATCCTTCTAGACTACCATTCCATTCCTTCATTTCATCATCATCATCATCATCATCTTCATCATCTATCCCCATTACATTATCCTTTTTCTTCATCAACATAACCGTTATCCTCATTATCATTCTTTTTCTTCTTCTTCTTTACACTGCTTGATTCCTATCTCATTTTTACCACATTTTATGTTATTAAAGATACGTTAGAAATTACATTTCAAATATGAATTCATTCGTTTGCCACCCTTCTGTCGATACACTTGAGGCAAGCCAGCTATATTAAACTTTGTATTATATTGAACTGAATTGAGCTGAATTGAATTGAATTGAATTGAATTGGATAGAAAAATTAATTACTGAATATCAATTCCCATATATATATGTAAAAATAAAATTTATATATATATATTTCATATTATATCTATATCTATAGTTACTACATAGGTTAAAGACACGCCTTGAACTGGCTAAATATAAGCAGCAACATGGCTGTGAGAGTGACGACCTATTGACTCTCGAGAATCGATTCATAAACCGCCATAAACGACTATCCTTTGAACGTGTCTGTAAACCACTCACATCTCGACGATTTTACTGCCCCACATCACTACGCGCTCCTTTCAAGCAACCAAGATACCGCCGCCTCTATGGTGTTCTGCCACCAACCCAAATACAATGTCCTCTGTCTGCCAAAAGATCAAATCTAGTCCTGTCTGTACCAGAACACAATGCAGCCCGTGTATTGGTCCTGCTACATCACAAAACTTCTTTTACACCACGAGAATGACATGCATTATTTAACTACAATTCTAGTCATTCAAGCAAAAGAAATGTTTTTTTTGACTGATATTAGTATTAGTAGGTATAAAAGCTTAAATAAAACATATATCTTTATTTAAATTAATATTGTTAGTATCGATGTCCTTTGTTTGTTTGTTTGTTTGTCTGTGTATGCGTCTGATTTGAAGAAAGGGTTATACGACCGGACAAGTGTTCAAACTTGTCAATGTTGTGTCCACACAAATGCTGGGTTCTTTTTCTTGCTTTTCTCTCTTTTTTTTTTTTATTTTTTTTAGAAAAATAATAATTTATTTTTGGACATTTACTTTACTTGCTTGAGAGTTGTGGTTGGCAAGAAGAAACTATAGTTTGGTCGTGATGTGTATACCACAAAGAGAAAGGAGAATTTTGTTAGTAAAGGAAATAGTAAACGCGACCCGATTGGTGAAGAACATTGAATTTCAATATTTGAAGAAAAGTGGGAAGAAGCATACAAGGGGGAATTTTTTTGGGTGTATTAAAATACAGCACAACCTTGATCTGTACTGTACTGTACTGTATTATATATATATATAAAAGGGTTTTTAATAATAATATTTTGATATTTGATTTCAATTCTTTTACTCTTTTACTCTTTTTCTTTTCTTTCTTATAAATAATACTAATAGTAATAATAATTTTCATTATCATCATTAATTGGTCAACATGAATTCTGATGGATCAGGTACAGTTCTGGGGTTCACTGATCCTGTCACAGCAAGTGAGACGAGCCTATTCTCTTTCAATCCTCTGGTCTACCTCTATTTCATGCTGTCATTCTTGCTGGTACCCTATCCAATATACCGTCTCATCGCTGCTCGCTACAGATGGGAAACGAATTACAAATCAATGGCCAGGCATTGGAGTGATCTGATCAATGGACTTTCGTACGGGACCCTGTTGTTCGTATTTGGGAACTATTCAAAGGCCTTTAGCTGGGTCACAGTGGTTGCCTTTTATCCAGCTCTGTTTGGGTATGCCCTTATTGCCGAATTATCTTTTACCAAGACTTCCTTACCGAATATAAAGAGTTGGCCATTTGGAATGTGGGCTGTATTTATAACGGCCGTTGTGTAAGTATTCCATTCTATCCATCTATCTTTTTCTTTCTTTTTTTTTGGGTGGGTGGGTATAGATGTTTAGGTCTTTAATAAAAGAAAAATAATAATAATACATATAATGTAATATAATATGGTGTAGTATCATCCTGGCCTTTGCTGCTTTCCACATCTACTATGCAACAACCTTAGCAAACCCCTTTGTGGCTTACTATGTCTGTTCATTGTTGATTCCCTTGTTTTTATTTGCTGTTGGGTTAATGATGATAAAGGAAAACAACCAAAACTGGGTTAGGACCCGATTGTTCAAAAAGAGTATCAAGTTAAATACAAAACCTGATATTGAACGAGATCCTGCTTCACCCGAATCAGCAGAAGCACAAGCACAAGCAGACGCAGAAGCACAGCAAGCAGCACAAGCAGAGCAAATTCAAACCTTGAGTCCATACAGGAACAGAGTTGGTCTACATCTGCATCATTGGCAAATCTTTTACATGCTTGCGTTCTTTACTCGGTAAGAAAATACACAAAGTACAAGTGTACATACACACTAATACATACATATATACGTATATGTTAATAAGTGTATATGTTTAAATAAAAGAAAGACCAAGACCTATGTACATATAGGTCTTTATTAATATTTTAAAGAAACTAAAAAAAAAAAAAAAGTGATGCTTAAACGTCTTTGTTCCGCTTAGGTTTATACATCCGGTATCACAAGTCGGAGCGGGTATCGTACTAGCATGTTACATGGAAGGCGTTTGTGCATGTAAGTTTTATATATAAATAAATAAATCAATTGTTCAAAATACCAACAATTCTTGGCTGTTGAATACAAATCCATATTTTAGATGGTTATGATGGTCTATTAAATGATGAATGACCTTGGAGATAATCTACCACAAGAGAATACAAACAAAACAAAACAAAACAGACGCAGAGAAGAACAGACTTTATTATTATTTTTTTGCCTATTCTTTTCTTAATAATCTAACCTTCCTTGAGCTTAATTATGATGATGACGACAAAGACGCTGACGACAATGATGATGATGCTGATGCTGATGCTGACGACGATGATGCTGATGATTATAATGATCAAGACTATAGAAATAATAATACTAATGATTTTATCCTATTTTACTCTAGTATATACATACATACACATCATATCTTAATATAATTCTTTATTTATTCCTTTATTCATTCATTTAAATAAATTCTTATTGTTATTGTTGCTGTTATTTGTGATGGGTTTTGGTTGGGGAGATTGTAGCCAAGAAGAAGAAAGCACTTGGCTGACCGAATAACGGTTATCAATATTGACACACAGTGTATGTTCAAATAAGTCCTTTAGTGGTGGTGAGATGTTTTCTGGCATTTCAAATTGTCCCAAAAGAATCTTTTGTTGAAGTCTAGGCTCATAATCATCATTAAACGGAAGACGTCTGGTGATCATCACATAGAGAACCACTCCCAAGGACCAGACGTCTGTTTTAGGGCATGTCAAGGGAGTGCGTGACAGGATTTGTTCAGGGGAGACATATGGTAAAGAGCCACCGGCTGACTCATTTTCTGGCTGACTGTAATTATTATACTTATTATTATTATTATTATTATTTCTGTGATTAGCTGTATTAGAATGATCGAGAAGTCTGGGGGTCTGGTACACAGACAACCCAAAGTCGCACAGCTTGATTGATCCGTCATCGGTCAACAAAATGTTTTCTGGCTTGATGTCTTTGTGGCACACCTTGATCTCCTGGTGTAGATACTGCACAGCTTCACACAATTGCCTAAACCATACGCGTACCTTGTTTTCTTGTTCGGGTAACGACATGGGTGGCTGATTGATCAAATGGCTCAATAGGTTTCCTTGGCTGCAGTAGTCACACACGATATAGGTAGCATAATCTGTCTCGAGAATCTTTTCGATTGACACCAGATTAGGGTGGTCGATGGATTGCCAGATCGCCAATTCGCGTTCAAGCCCGTCGAATTGGCCGGCCGTGTTGGTGTGATCTGGTTCCGGTCTTTGGATGACCTTGATTGCCACCCGACGGCCATCCGAGATGCAGAATCCTTGGCGGACGGTTGAAAAGGCACCGTATCCGATGATCTTGTTCAACACATAATCGTCGATTTCATCGCCTTCTTCTTCTTGTCTTAGGGCTTCGGTTGGACTAGGCAATAGTAGGCCGGCTAAGAAAGAGGCTGCGGGTGACTTGATATGGTTCCAGGATTTATTGGACAGTGCAGAGTTTGGTGAAACGACAGATGGGCGGCGTGTGAGATGGGATTTTGAGCGAAGAGGAGGATTTGGATTTGGATTTGGATTTGTACTTTGATTTGGATCATTATGATTATAAGGAGTGTGATGATGATTGTGGTGATGATTGTGATGACTGTGGGGAATGGATATGGGGGCGTTTTCAAGGGGTGATATTGGCAGGCTTGGGTCTGGGGAGAGGGAGGAAAATGTGGAGGAGGTTGGAGAAGGGGAGAGAGGGGGTAAAGAGTGGGGCTGAATAAGGGATGGGCGTCTGGAAGGAACATGAATAGAATTTTGATAATTGAATTCCTGATGATTTTGATTCTGTTTCCTTGTAAAGGGTATATCGAGTGAACTAGTATCGATGTGCAGCTTTTTCTTGGTTAACGGGTCAAAAGCCTTCCCAGCCAAGCTGGAGGAGGAGGAGGAGGAAGAAGAAGAGGAGGATGAATAGTTGGAATTAAGACTGGATTTCTGATCTTTGGATTTGCTTGAGATGCTGTACATTCGATTGAAAAATAAAATAAAATAAAATAAAAATAAAAATAAATGAAGGGGGAGGACTGGCTTTTTTTTTTGTATGTATATTATATATATAAAATAATAATATGATATATAAATATCTATATCTTTTTGTATCAACTGTATAAATAAAAGTAAAGACAAGAAAATTTAAAATTTAAAATTTAAAATAATAATAAATAATAAAAAAGGGGGATTCAGATGTGATTATTGACAATTGACAATAGATAAACTGAGATTAAGATTTTTTTATATAGATTTCAAAAGGAAGAAAAGAGTGAAAGAAAAAGAGTGAAAGAAAAGAAAGAAAGAAGAAAATGTTGAAATGAAATAAAAATAAAGAGAAAATAAAGGAGTGATAAGGCAGACAAAGCAAGATAAGAAGTAGTGTTTGTCCAATCAAAGACCATGATCATCTTATCAAAATCATTTCCTCAAGGACCTTAGCTCTGTATTCTTATCCAGCCAATCACAGCAACATCACACATATATTAAAATAAATAAAAATAAATAAATAAATGAATAATAAAGCGTATTACATATATATATATATAAAAGAGCACATATCACTCTGTGTCTTGCTAATATAATAGATATTAAACCAAGGGGGGAAGGAGAAAAAGAAGAGGGGGTTTATTTATTATTCATATTATTCATATTTCTATTTCTTTGTAATTCAAATTACACCATAATTCTGTAATTCTGTAATTCTATGATTTTATAATTGTGAAAATCTACAAATAAAGCATCATGCTTAATTGAATAAACGATATTAACCAATCAATCTCCACGTGACTGGTATGTGTACACCACCAACACCACCACCAAAGTGATTAAACCCAAAAGAAGTAATAAGCCAAAAAAGATCATGTCAATGCTGCATTGAAAAAAATAATAAAAGTAAATACAATTGAATATAGTATAGCATAATGTATATATTGACAGTTTTGTAGATAGTATGATGATGATGATATTGGTAGTAATAGTAATAGCAATAGCAATAGCAATAATATATTATATATAAATATAAATAAATATATAAAAACAGAGAAAATATTATAATTCCATTTGGTGATCAACGTTTAAATACTACAACAAACAACAACAAGCCAAAAATATTATGTAAAGTATATTAACAGCATTCTTGGATACCAAAGCACAATAAGAGTGCAGCTAAGCTATATAGGTGTACACAAAATAGATGATTCATGTGCAAGTTGCAAGCAGTAGATGAACATGATATAGTAATATAAAGAAAATGTTACATATAAAAGATAGTATGTTAGTACATATACACACAAAATATATAGCTATATTAGATTATATATCTTTTCTTTCTCTATCTTTCTTTATCTTTTTCTTTTCACACGCATGTAAATATATATATGAGAAAGTCTTATTTACCAGCCTAGGCAACATGCGTCATTGCCTTTCTTTGGGCGAGAATGAACCAAGACAGATTGAGGTGGAGGTGTAGGTTGATAGTAGTAGACTAATGCATTTTTATGTATGTATATATATATATATATATATTTATAGAATAGTAGTCATGGTAACTATAAAAAGTCGATTCTAGTTTTTGTTTGTTTTTTGTTGTTTTTTACCATCAGGTTGTTGAGATGGGTGGATGGCATATTGGCTCAGATGATGAGCACGGTAGGCGGGAGGTGGTGGAGATTGATCTGTCATTTCAAAGTAAGGATCGGTGTGGTAGACTGGAGGAGGTACAGGAGCGGACGCATGGAAAGCTCTCTTGTCAACACTCATCGTTCTAAAGAGTCCATTCAATAGCCTTTTTTTTTTCCTTTTTCCTTTTTTTTCTTTTTTTTTTATTTAAATATTTTTTTTTAAAAAAAAATACTATATATTGAATTGAATTTAATTGAACTGAATAATATATTTTATATTATTTTTAATTATATAATGGGGCAGCTGGAATATATTAGGCTAGTAAAGGCGAGGAAGCTTTTTATTTTATTTAATTTTTTAATTTTTTGGGGGGTATTGAAGTGGAAAATAGAGTGGAAGTAAGACTTTAAAGTGAAGGTGGGAGAAGTTGGGGGAGAGAGAGCAAGGAAATAGTAAAAAAAAAAAAAAGATAAAAGATTGGCCAGGCAATATTCTTACTGTCAAATAGGGAAAACCCGAGATATTCATTATATATAAATATATATATTTAAAATAAAAATAAAATAAAATTATAGGCGATCATCGGACTAGGCACTTCCCTCATATCTCATATCACATCCCTTTTCCCTCTCTCATTATACTCCTCCTCTTTATCACCCCTACACTCCCCACCCTCTATATATATATAAAAATAAAAATAAAAACTCCGGATATCGGAGTATGAATTAGTATCGCACCGGAGAGCATCCCGGCCAATTGAGGTTGCTACGATACACCGGACCACTTTACTTTGGTTGTCTTGAGCCGCCCCTGTAACCATCCTCCTCTTCCCTTACCAATTAGTTCATTATGGCTGGTCAATCGTCTCGGTAAGCATCCATCGATCCTTGGCTCTAGGAAAAAGATCATAAAGATGCTCTATATTATTGACATTTGTCGATTTTATATCCATCGAATCCAATTTGGATTTTTGACTTCTTTAAATCCACACAAATATATATACACACAAAAATACTCTAAATATGAGCATATATAATATATGACATTTTTTTAATTTTTTATTTTTGCTAACATATATATTATTTTCTACTATCTTTATATCAATATATATATATATATATATATACACTCACCTGTATAACTCGCACTACAACAATCATATACAACCTTTACCTACACTCAAATACATATTCATTGCGGATTCCTCCTTATTTCCAAAATTAACAATAATAACAATAACAACAATGATTATCATTTTTAAATAATGACTATAACAATCATTTTAAAAAAAATCAACGCAACAGTCTGTACAGCAAGGGTCGCGTCCTCGGTTACGAACGTGCAAAGCGCGCACAGAACCCCAACACCTCTTTGATCCAGGTCGAGGGTGTCCAGACCACCAAGGACGCTCAGTTCTACCTCGGAAAGCGTATTGCCTACGTTTACCGTGCCCAGCGTGAGGTTAACGGTTCCAAGGTCCGTGTCATCTGGGGTCGCATTGCCCGTACCCACGGTTCCAACGGTGTTGTCAAGGCCCGCTTCCGCAAGAACTTGCCCCCCAAGGTCTTTGGCGCCAGCGTCCGCATCGTAAGTTTTATTTTTTTTATGTTGGTTTATGGTGCTGCGACATGGTTTGTCGTGATTGCGATTTCTCTTAATGATCAATTATTCTTACACTACTTTTTTTTTCGTAGATGCTTTACCCCTCCAACATCTAAATCGCATATCGAAAGAAACTCAACAAGAAAATTTTGTCCTAATTTTTCTTTTGGCCGTTTCATATTTTTTTTGATAAGGCTGTAAAATAAAGCAAAAACAAGATACTTTTTTTGTTAGAGGTTAAAAAGAAGAACAGAAAAAAAAGGATCCTTCAAATCCTTTAAAAGTTGTGTGAGTGAGTTTCTGTGGAGCTATAACTGTTTGAAGGTTTATGTTATTAGGGTGTCAATATTAGTGCTGGTAGATGTGAATTTGTAAGGGTATTATATATGCACCATTTGATATATGTTTACTATTAAGCGTTTCTTTAAAAAAAAATTCGTACCCAAAAAAGGAATGTAATTAATATTAACCATAAAGGGTATTTAGTGTATATCAAAGAGAGGGTCATAGAAGGGGGTAGGATTGATATAATAGAAATATATGTGAATAAATATGTAATTATTTAAGGTAGGGAGAGAGAGGTTGATGTGCACGCCCAAGAATATATAAATAAATAAAAAAGATACAACAGGTTGATTTTCCATTCTTGTCTAGTTGAGGTCATTTCAATTTATTCTATACCAAAGCTAATAAAGTATTGATAGATCCTTGACCTTTTTTTTTCTTTTCTTATTTGATTATATGATTTTCTATACCTCCTATGCTATGTATGTATCCAATAACTTAACGAGAGTCAACCAAGTTTATTAGTTATATAGATATTATATACACATATATGTTTTTTTTTAAAAATACTCTTTTTTTGGACTTTCTTTAATAAGTAACCCTCTCACAGATTTTCTCTATTTTTTCAAGATTTTGCATTAATAATTGATCTTGTCTATGATACAATGGCTTCTTTCCACTGTATCATCTGCGGTATCTTTTGTGCAAAAGCTTTCAGTTCCTCACAAGTAGGCGGACAAGTAACACAAAAATGTACTTTCTTTACATAAGTTCCTTCTTTTGTTAGATAGATAGCTTCAAAGAAGATCTTTTTGTCTATAATGTATAAAATCAACTTCTTTAGTCATTATTATATTATATCGAAATCATCTTTCAAAGCACTTTACCAAAGAGCCGTAGATAATGTTGTGGAATCGGATAGTCTACAATATCTAGAGCTTCGGTGTACTTGATTAAATCGATTATCTTTTTGATCGACTTTTCTTCATCGTCCTTCTCCTTCTTTGCCGTGCTGTTGGACATAATACCCCCCAGAGAACTCAATTAGGACTGGTGCTACTGTTTTATCCTTAACAGCAAGTGCTACGCCATCCCATTTTGTATTGCCGGCTGTCCATACTTCTTTTTCGAACCTACCGAGCAGAATCACTTTTTTTTTTTGAATACTTAATAAGAATTTCAAATATATACAAATATATATATATTACGCACCATGCAAGATTAATAATATCATTATTGGCAAAAAAGAGGTTATTGATTATTGTAACCGTGGTAAATGTGGCTGCCGTTCGTTCCAGGGTCTGATGTACCAATGGATTACAAGGACTCATCATCAAGTTCAAACTAAACAAAAAACAAAAAAAGTAAATTGCCTGACAATTTATCTGTATTGTATTCTATCTATATAACAACATGTTATACGTACAAGTGGGTTATGGTCGTCTCTGCAAAATTCAGGTCAGAGTGCACAATAAAATTAAAAATCTCATCACCAAGCGTCGACTTTCTGATAATCTTTCGGATCACCACTGGACTTGGAGGTGCATTATTTATCAAGTCCAATAGCTTCTGGCAAGGTGGTGTCAGCGAGTGCTCTGGTAAGCCAGTGTTGGATTCAAGAGATTGAAAACGTTGTTCGCCGAGGTAGCTTTTAACAAGCTTGTTAATACCCTTGTCATCAATAGAGATAACTAGATCATCAGGTAATCTAATTTGATATATATAAAGAGCGATTATAAAATAATTGATAGTGATCAACATAATAAGAGTGATAATAGTGATACTTACTCATCACAGATACCATTTACAGCATGGATAATATTAGCCAGAAATTTCTTATTACCAATATCGTTCGTGTTTTTGGGCGATGATTCTTTTCTTGGGTGGAATTGTGGTTGATGAAATTGATACGCGTATTGGTGGCTGTGATGAGAATGATGCAGAAGAAGCTGAGCTGACACATATCTAACAATCAGCTTTTAGTGTTAGTTAACTAGAGTGTTATTTATAAGTCTAACAATCACCTTTTTTGACACGGAAGTTATTTTCTCGGATGTATCCGCATTCAATTTCTCGACTACCTGTAACCTTTGATTCCTAATGCTTTCTGTGAATTCGCTTTCTCTCCTCTCTTGCCAATATTTGGTATAAAGTCAATTGAATCTTGTTTCCGGTCGTCCACGCTTCTGTTCAAAGTAGCCAATATTGTTTGTATGACTTTTGTCGAAGATACTTGCATTAATACGTTAAGTGCGTGTATAGCATCACTGTTGCATGGATATTTAGTAATAAGATGGTAGCATTTTCAAGTTGTCCGAATGGTCTAAGGAATCTGACTTAAAAAATAAGATGGTTCATGATACTGAGATATGAAACATTTGTCAAATCTTTATCTACGTTGGCAAGGTCTACAAAAGATATATAATCAAATACTGGATCGAGAAGGTGTGCAGTCTTGACCCAGTCTTCGTAAATATGACTGTTTTTAACTTTTTCAAACATATCTTTGTTTAGAGGTAAGGAAAATACGTAAGAATTGGGATTTGGTTGAATAAGAAAAAAAAAGTGAAACCTTACAGCAAGTCTGGCAGGACAGCCTGGAAAGTCTGGACAGCTTAGAAGTAAGCAACGTCACTCATAATTAGTGTTTTATGATTACATACATCTTTGATTTTTTTTTGGGTTGGTCAAACTTTGATATTTGTTAAATGTTTCAAAAAATAATAATCAAATATATAAAGCTGGTATGGGTGAAGATAATTTTATTTTGTAAGTCATACCTTGACTGTTAGCACATCAAAAAATAATCTTCCAGGTCATTATTTTTTGAATTTTTTTTTATGAAAAGAGTTAATTTTTCGCCAAGAGAATTTTCTTGTGTTTTTACATTTGGCAAGAAGAGTGATGTTGTATACTTTCATGCTGTCCTGCCAGGCTGCTTGTAAGGTTTCCCTTTTCTGCCCCTCCTAAACCTGAGTGTAGAATATTATATTAGCTTGGCATATACTGGAATGGAATGTAAGGGTGGTAAATGGTTTTTCTTCTTCTTCTTCTTTTATGATATACCTTATTCAAAATCAATTAGATACGTTTGATATGTAATCTGTAATGGTGCCTGTCATTGCTTATACGACTTGGCGCGTTCACTAGAATCGCATTCCTTGACGAATCTTCTTTCCTCGCCTGATGTGGTAACAACGAGAGTTTTTTTTTTTAATTGTATTGCAAAAACTTGCAATGAAGAAAACAGACATCGCTCAACCCTAAGAGCACCTGTACCAGCTACATTATAATGTTTTCAGAAATGTTGCTGCTGGAGATACTTTAAAAGGGTGTTTTTTTTTGCACATTTGCATTGTCTTCCTCATTTACCCTTTTCTATCCCCGATCTCATGTTTTTTGTACGCCATAAGAGAAGCAGAATCATATAACTATTCATTTATTTTTATGTATTTGTGTAATCGTTTTTGTATAAAGGTTTATGTAAAGCCATCTAGCTATACAAGAATACTCAGAAATTCAGCATAAAGTGATAGTTATATTGCACTAAAAAATTACAGATTTTAGCTGAGAAGCACATGTATTTCGATTTATGAAAGAAATAAGCTACTGGGAATAAGTAAAGATAAAAATAAGAGTAGAATGATTCAATTAAACAGCAAACAGAAAATGTAGATTCTTTTCAATATGCAATTAATAAATTGGGCAATATATACTTCTGTAGATATATAATTGTATATTATATAAAAAAATAAGAATTTTACTTTGTTGTTGTTTCTTTGGGATGAAAGCTGAATAAGTGGTTTGTGTAAGTCTTGTACAATATACCAATTTGGGTTGGGCTTATACAAACCTGACTATTGTGAGAGCTTGTAAAAAGGCTTAGGAAAACACATTTTCTATACCAAAAGCAAATAGCTTGAGCAATTATTCAGAAACAGTTATATTTCTCAGCCATATGTATTCACCAAGCCATTTCAAAAAAAGTATATATAATGTAAGAAAAAGATCCAAAATATCATTCAATTCATATTAATCAAAAACATCAATTCATTCTTAAACTTTACATCATGCGCTCTCCTATGGTTCAAATCTTCTCTACTCTCTGTTTTCTTGGACTCTTGGTAAACTTGACACAGGCAGCTCCGTATGCCCCTGGTGATTGGCGTTTGAAGTTTCACATGGATCGTCCAGTAGAAAAACCAACCGCAAAATGCATGTGGTATACCGCTAAAAATTTGTGTGCCTAAGACCATCTTGCCTTGTTTTATATAAATTTACTCATTTTGAATAGTATATAAATATATATTAATCAATGTAATATCGAAAATAAATAAAGTTAATACTTCTTTTTGTGACTTTGTAATATACATACTGAAACATAGAACAGAATAGATTCTTTGAACTTTAATAAAATAATAAGGATTTCCACTTTTTATATTTTATTCTCATACATGTATACAATATTAAATCTGTGTTGTATTTATTATAAGTGGTTTCATTGAGCTTAATATCTCTGTTTTGGCTACTAAAGACAAAATATAAAGTATTGAGCTACCTCAATTCGTAGGCATGCCTATATAACTAACATTTTTTTTTTGTTAAACGTAAGACGTATCGAATTTCTTTATAGGCTACAGAAGGTAGATATCTAAAAAATAGGGTTTAAGTTTTAGTGCAGCAATACTTTACCCTATTCAAAGAATTAAAAGTAGTGTTTGATAAAATAATGCTAATTTTATATCTTATTCAATATATATATCCTTGGGAAATACTCGGTGGATTGAATGAATACAATCTCTGTAATGCTTACATTAATAAGTATACAAATACTAGTTATATTTTTATTTTAAAGGGTTTATTATAGCATTATATAACAAATACAACAATTATAATAGGTAACGACAGTGAATTTTTCTCTTTACCATTTCCTATTGATAATATTCTTTGACTGATTTGCGAAGATTATCTTGTATGAGCGTAAAGCTTAGCACTTGAAAATTATTTTGAAAAGTAGTACTTACCAATAGACACTATATATCTTTAGCCATAAGTTTGCAGCTCTAATATATCATTCACATCTCATAGTATATGTTGAAGTAGATAACCAATTATTTCAGACAATTTAATTTTATTACTTTTATATAGACAAGCCTGATAAAGCTCAAAATAAATTATTATATGCAGAAATGGTTAATTTGATTGATACTTTCAATTTGAAAAAAAGAAAACAGCTTTAGATCAATGAGAGAATAGACATCTCTTATGTGTGTGCGTGTGTATTTAAAACAATATATGAATGCTGGTTATAAGTAAAGATCCAAGAAATTAGTTAAAATATAGCAAAGATGTATTTAATGAATACAGAGTACAAAATTAATTTCTATTATTATAAAATTAATATATAAAATAGATTTCTATTGACGTTAACTATGTAATTTAATTGGAAGTAAAGTAGTTTAGCTTGGATATCAAAGAACTTGATAATTTATTCACAAAAATAAAATCAATAATTTGAAAATTTGATCTACTCTAAATATAAATATATTAGCTGGGATGGTCCAAATCCCAGTGTATGCTGTCGCAGGTCAGCACCATATTTTACTGGCTATTACATTTCTTCTTCGTGCCTTGTCCAGATCCAGAGGAGAGGGGGTCCAACGCCAGTCCATTCCATTGATTCTTTTTTGATTTTTGATTTTCTTGTTTTTTGATTTGATTTTTTGATCTTTTTTTTTGATTTTTTTTTTATATTTTTTATGATTTGCTTTTCTTCATTTGATTTGATGAAATATTCTATTCTATTCAATTGTATAGTATAATCTGTTTTGATATTTTTTTAATAGACATGATGTGTCTTGATATGTCTTGTCTTCAATTGATTTGGGTTGATTTGTATTGACTTGATATGATTTGTATAATGTTCATGGTCATATATACTGAGAGTGACTTTGTTAAAGGACGTCTTTAGATTTGATTTGAGAGAGAGTTTGAGAAAAGTAATCTTCAGATTTGGTGAAGAGAGACTTTGGAAAAAAACCACTTTCTGATATGAACCCAGAGAGGCTTTATTAGAAAACGCCTTATTTTTTTAGCCGAGATAGATTTTGTAAAATGACATCTTCCGCTTTGATTAGAAAGATCTTGTAAAAGGACACCTGAAGATATGTGACAGGAGAGCCTTTGTAAAGAGTGTCATATAACTTGAGTGGAGAGTTACTTGGTAAAAGAACACCTTCCGATTTAAGCTGAGAAAGGTTTTATGAAAGAGAACCTTCCGATTTGAGTTGAGAGAGAGAGTTTGTAAAAAAACGCCTTTAGATTTGAGCGGAGGGATGCTTGGTAAAGGGACACCTTCCGATTTGGATTGAAAGAATTTGTTAAAGACCAACTTCAGATTTGAGCTAAGAGAGAGTTTGTGAAAGGACACCTTCAGTCTTGAATGAAGAGAGACTTTGGAAAAAGCGCCTTCAGACTTTAGTAAAGAGAGAGTTTGTGAAAGAACACCTCCAGATTTGAGTGAAGAGAGACTTTGGAAAGAGCGCCTTTTGACTTGAGTGGAGAGATATTTTGGAAAGAACATATTCCGATTTAAGTCGAGAGAGACTTTTTAAAAGGACACCTTCAGTCTTGACCCAAGAGAAACTTTGTAAAGGACACATTGTGATTTGAGACAACAAAGATTTTGGAAAGCAGTACCCTCCAGTTTGAGTGGATACAGAGACGCTTCGTTAACGAATGCATTGTTTTTGTTTTTGTTTTTGACATTGTTTTTGCTTTGTGTTTTTGATATTTTTTTTTTCTTTTTTTTTCTTTTTTTTTTCTTTTTTTTTCTTTTTTTTCTTTTACAAAATATTGGAATGGATATTGGACTGGACAATGGACCCCCCCTTCCTGGACTTGAACAAGGCACTGGACCCTATACTATACAACTGCGAAATATATATATTATTAGTTCTAAGATATTTGATACTCTAATTAACAGCGTAATATTTTTGTGACGCCCAACTGAAATGGGTTCAGTTTTGCTTTGTGTTGTTTTTCAGAGAAAACACCAAGAGCAGGATTCCTTTGAATAGCTATATTGTTGCTATTGTGTTTCCGTAGTTCCTTCCGAAATATTTTCTTGCTTGCTGATGGAGGCCTGTAATAGATATACTGGTGCCACAGAATTGTCTGCAAAATCCATTCGGGGATCGCCAAAACCTTTTTTTTTATGTATGAAACTACGGCCTTTGACCAATGTATAAAATTCATATTTGAAGAAATTGTTGACCCAGTGGAGATTCTTGAAGTGCTTTTGGCCGACCCATGAAATGGTAAGCTCCTGGGTTGTATAATTTGATGGTGCATTTTTGATAGCTTGATACAATTGACTTGATCACTTGAATACTTGAGGCGGGATATAGTGCTACACACAATTTTCTTGCGGGAAAGATTTACTACTGGATTGAATTTCCATGATTTTTTGTAGGAACGGGGGTATATAATTTTCTTAATGTGAGTCAGAGACCGGCCACCAAGTAGCTTGAACACCGTGCAAAATGCTTGATTTTCTTGGTTGATTGTATTGGTGAGCATCAGTAGACTTTGCATATTTTTGTTACTGTCCTCTCATTCCACCTTTGATAATTTCTTTTTTTGTTCTTTTTTTTTTGTTCTTTTTTTTTGTTCTTTTTTTTTTGTTCTTTTTTTTTTGTTCTTTTTTTTTTGTTCTTTTTTTTGTTCTTTTTTTTTCTAATTTTTTCCTTTACATATATATATATATAAACATCCACTTTTTCTTTTTGCGTTTTAGAACCAGTCTGATATTGGCTTCCTGCTTGACTGATTCTGTCCTCCTCAAACTTTGACTTGATAGTTTGCTAAAATTAGTCTCATGATATGACCTTTGATTGAATCTTGCTTTTCATTGGCAATCACTTGCGCACGTATTTGGACCCTATATGTGGGTTGTTTGTCCCTGCTATACAGACATTGCCGGTATTGCTTGCTTTAGCCTACTCTTCTTGACAGGTCTGAATACGACCCGGTTGACCCAATTAATCAAATCTTGGTTCTATATATCGGCCAAATTTAAGGACAACTCATAATATGCTGGCTTGTGTTCAACCCATGGCTGTATTAAATACTCATAGCTGTCGATGAAATTCTCGATATCCTATCCACTTGGTAGTAGATACTCTACTTGCATAGTATCTACTATATATTATAACCTTAATAGTATTGAAAAAAGCCAAGCGCTTGTTTCCTGAAGCACATCTTGAGTAGTAGTCATATCAAATAAACGTGGTTTCTTAGGTTTGTAATTGGCATGTGCTGTACATTTGAGATGCTTTTCTGCATCATGCGCTTGACTCATTGATTGTATCTCTTGTTGATAATCGGCTTGAAAGTATCATAGCAGATATTATAGACCGGCCAGCTGTATATTTTTAAGGACTGCCTATTGTTGACCGTGAAATCCATTTGAAAGTCAATAAGATTACCCCTAGACTTGAGCTAATATGTCTATCGGCTCTGCGAAATTCACTAGACGGAACCAAAGACACACAAAAACTTGAATAATGTTTTTCTAGAACGCCAAGGGCCACCAAGGTTGACCAAATACGATTTATAGCTGCCAGAAAACCAAACGTCCACGTTTTAGAGCTTAAAATTTTGGTATCCATTTTCAAGATCAAAAACCAGGTTCATGGTAGCCCAAACGAATTACATAGCACAATCCATAAACAGAGATATTGAAGCAATACGGCACTCATGCGCTTGAGAACAAAAGCAAGAAACACAGACAGGGAAATCTATTGACCCAATAGTCAAACGCCTGCGGACAGCAATCAAAAACAAAGAGAGACAAAACCCAGATACATGCAACAGTCAAATGCCTGTGGGCAGCAACCAGACCAATAGATGGATAAAGTCCAGATATATGGCAGTCAAACGCATGAGAACAATAATTAAAAACACGGGAAAAAACCCCAAGTTTCACAGCAGTCAAAGGCCTGCGAGCAGCACCAGTAACACATGCAAACAAAGTCCAGATACATGGATGACGATTGCCTGAAAATAACATCCAGAAACACAGACAGCCAAAGTCTAGACAACGAAACAAAAGGGACCAATAACGTCCAAACAAAATAGGGAAAACCAAGAACCCAAGAACTCGATCATAGCCTTGGGGGGTGGAACTCAAAAAGGTTTCTACCAACCCGAAACTATTTTTTTTAAAAATAAATAAATAATTAAATAAATAAATTAGAGTCAATAAATTTTCAATATGTATAAATAATAAATATAGTAGTAAAAATATAAGTCAAAATTTTACCTTTTTGAGAACCAGAGGGTCGCTACCACCACTTTCGAATATATGCAGACGGTGATTAACAGCAAGTGCAAGGACCCACAACTCAGCCTACACCTGCTCTGCATACATCGGTGTAGACAACTCCACGTCTACCTTCCCTCTACTATCCAAAGACTTTGGACTCGGAACCAAACAAGCAAGCGGACCATGGCGTCAAACTTAAAAAAGAATGATTAGCCAGACCTTTGAATATGCGAGCAATTGGAACCGAACGTAAAGGGGAATCTGACTACCGCCTGCTGACCCTGGCATCTCATGCTTCATCGTCAAAGTCACTCTCTTCTAACTCAGCAAGGAGATCTGCCAACACTGAGTCTTGCAGGGTGACGCCCTCGTCGTCATCTTCGTGTTCCTTATCCGAGTCCTCTTCGTCATCATCATCATCTTCTTCACCTTCTAGGACTTCTTCTGGACTCTCGGGAGCGGTAGTCAGCCACGCCACAACACCAGGAATTGTGGTAGGCTCTGGTGTCTTATTCTCTGGCAACGACATGCCAGATTGGCCGGGAAGGCCAGCACCAGAATCAGATCCGGGGAGAAGAGGGGAAGATGGTAGTCTTGGACCCTCCTCTGGATTCCCCACGAGATCTTCTGCAACTTGCTGTGGGACACAAGTCGCGCCTTTGTTGGTAATGTTTACCTGTTCAAGTGGGAATGGGCAAGCCACACCAGAAGCAGGAAACATGGTTGCAGCACCAGAAACCGGAAACATGGTAGCCGCACCAGAGACAGAAAGTCTGGTGGCAGCACCAGAAGCGGGAAACATGGTGGTAGCACCAGAAACAGAGAACATGGTAGCCGCCATGATGGGAGAGGCTTTTGAGACTAAGCTCTCATCCCAGTACATGAGGCAATCGTCTTGGTAGTGATCAAGGTTGCCCTTGATCGCTGGAACTACCTCGACGGCGAGGTCCATCAGACTGTCGCCATACAAGTCTTCTGGAACCATCGCTAGTTCGTTGTTCACGTTGTACCAGCAGGCTGTGGAGACGTCTGCAACAACGACACCGGCATACTCGACATCAAGCATTTCGGAAGACTCTGGCTCAGAGATTATACTCATTGCACAGTCGAGATCTTCCTCATCTGCATCCGTCAGCATCTGCTCCAAAGGAGTGTCAACAGTGGACAGGAAGTCCATGCGTTCTTGTTGCCCGAAGGCAAAGAGACCTCCGACCAACGCAGGACACTGAGGCACCTCCTCAGACCAGACAGTGTTTCCACCGTACCAGCAGTCTTCCATGGCCGAAGCCACCTCTGCTCCAACAGCACCCACTTGTTGGGCAGTACACACGGAGAGATCCCGGCCAGCCCAAAGGTCTTCACTGGTATCCTCAATTGACATAGAGCCAAAGAGAGATACCAGATCGGAAATTTCCGAAAGGATCATCTCCTGGCCAGAGGAAGGAAGCTCACCAACCAAAGGGAAACTTGGTCTCTGTTCAGTGAATGTGCCTTGTTCAGGGAGACAAGGCGAAGCAAGGAAACACCCAGTTGCAGAAACACTGGCAGAGACTTTATCATAGCAGATGCTATGGGTTTCGCTCTGGATACCGTTTTTCAACGGTTCTGGAGTAGATCCAATGGGCTCAGAAGGGTTCGTCTTTGGAACTATCTCCTCGAACATCTGCTCCTCCAGTTCCTCCCCATAGTATGGGAGTCTGGTTCGGACCAAGCGTTTTAGTCCCTGGTTCTCATGACGCACTGGAATGTACGCCACTTGTTCCATGTGGGAACGCTTGTCATCTTCACGAACTGTTGGGTTCATCCGATGGCAGGCGCTGTTCTGTTGCTTTACGGAAGTAGAACTAGAAAGACCTTCAACATCACTGGCACCATTAATCTCCGAAGAGACAGCAAGACAAGATATAGGCCCCAAGGCATCTCCAAGGGAGCCACTACGGCAGGAACCAGAAGAAAATACCTCCAACGAAGTACGGAAAGACTGCAAGCAACCTTCATCGTCTGACATATGGTCAATGTTAGTATCTATGTTGATATTACAGTACTCAATAGCTGTCTTACCTTTGTGGATTACTTTCATTCCGTATGAGAATAAGCCCATGTTAAAAACAGAGGGGACTAAGAGAGAGGATATAGCTGCGAAAAGCAGTGCGCAAAAGTAGGCTGAGGCAAGACATAAAGTCTGCAAGGCAAGTTGGATGGGATAGGAAATCATGAGAAATCGCGGGAAGAGAGGTATACGGAAAAAAATGAAAAAATTGAAAGGTTGATGCTTCTTTTATAGACAATTTGTCTATCTCATTCCTTGTTGATGGTACTGCTGTTTCTTTGTGACAGCTACTACATTACTCATTCAATCATAGAGCAAAGAATGTAGCTAGGAGTTTTTCTTTGTATTTCTTTCAATTTTCACTTCTTTCCGTAATGATATATATGTAGTAAAGAGTAGTAATTTAATTTTAACAGCTAACATTAATTTAAGACAAAAAAAAATTGAATTAAATATCGTCTAAAAATGTGCGGATGCATTAAAGCAGTGGAATTTTTCTTTTAAAAAGTACTAGAAAATGAAAGAGAATGTTGAAGCAAATAAGTAAAAAAAAATATATAGCCAAATAGTTAACCAATATCTAGAAATAGAGGTTTTTTTCTTTTATTACTTAAAGCTGATCTGTGCTCTGTTTATATAATGTAATCAAATATATGAACTCAAGGAAAACAAGCAGAAAACCAGTGATTTATATAGACAGCCAATTTGCAAAATGTTATAGCGAAAGAAAAATATTTTGTGCCTATCACTTAAAGTTAGTGATAGTATGATTAGATCGACCAATTTTTTAAGAGAGTAGATCCTTCATTTTTGAAGAGACCGTGTATTTCTTAGCAAAAATGTTGTTGGAATGAATTATAAATGATATTAAAACTAAAGAACAGAAAAATTGTCTACATAATTTGTATGACTATTAGTAGGAAAACGTTGGGGGTATTGGAAGATCTTGAAGATGGAGTGATACACGTTTGTATCAACTAGTGTACTCTGATCGGCCTGAGAAATGATAAATGTAAGATGAGCTATGTTCATAAAGATCTTCATTAGTTAAATATTGACCTGCTATCAGTAGTAAGTAAAGAGAAAAAGTACTTGATTCCACTAATATTATTTTTGGGCTTTTGTCTCAAACTCCACGCAAAATTTGCTGGTTATAATATTATACACAAGCAGCTTTGTTATTGTTTTCTTACTGTCTTTAATACAAGATTAGCTTGA